GTTAATATTACGGAGATGAAAGTAGGAAGACCGAGTGATATTATTTATGTGCTAGGACAGAGTGCTATCGAGAATGACACCAAGACTCTTAACCTGAGGGGAGGGTGTGACAACAGAGTTATCAATGGATAACTAATTATTTCTCCCTTTTGGAGGAAATGCCCTTATTTAGGTGGTTAGATTGCAATGAGCTATGATTTTATGTAACCACTGGCTTTTATTCAGATGCAGTCTAGTTATATTAGTTTCTACCCACAAAGTCTTTATTGTGGCTTACTGGATGATTTTATGAGAAGTAAAACAACAACACTGTACATCTACTGAAAGTTTTAAATGGAGATTTTGAACATAAAACAATAATGTTGGAACGTCATCATGAGTATAACTCATGCACGAATGAATTGGTCAACTCGGGTGAATTCTCTTGGCTTGTGGGTCATCTGCAACATGCTAGTGATCTGGGAGCTCCAAATGAATTCCCACCATCTTTGGCCATCTTACTTAGACTACGTCTGCGTTACACCCATTATTTCTCTCAAGTTAATCTGGCTCTATAAATAATTGCTGCTGTGAAAGCTCGGCTTGTTTGGTAATGTATAGAGTCTGCTCGAGCCTCCTGTGATTGTGCCCGCTCGTTGACATGATAGAATTGTACAGCTGAAGGAACCTTTCACATTTATATTTAATCTCCCAACTCTCATCCTTAATGCATGAGGAGAATGGGAGACCCCGACACCCCACCCCCCTACTTCGTGGTTTGGCCTGTTGGGAGAGGAAAGGAGGGGGATTAGAGCAGGATTAAGTCTGTGTGAATGGGAGCCACAATTATTCACTTCCACCATCAGTCAACTTTCACCCCTCTAACCGTTTAGTCTCTCTGCGAAACCCACAAAGACACGTGTTCGTGTTTTTGTACGTTCTAAAACACATCAGAGTTTAAACTTTTTATTGAGAATTTAATCTTTTTGCCTGTAAAAGATTACATTTTACCTGCAGATTAAGTTGTGTGTTATCAGATAATGATTGAATCATCCGTCTTTCTTTGCATCCTTGATATAGAGAGTCAGTAGGTTATAGTCTGGGCATCCTTCAGCTGTGGGACACCAGCCAGTGTGTGAGGGCTTCTGTAGCAGCCAGCACTTTTCCTTGTACTGGACGTTGATTACAATTGCAGATAACATTTTTGAAAGCTAATAAAAAGCCAGATCATTGCCAAACAACAGCCTATGGTTTTGAGATTACATTTCGGCTAATGTATTTCCCTCCTTTGGTCGTATGCAGCCAAAGGTTGCTCAAATGCGATTTGTCATTAGTTCTTGTGCTACAAGACAGGAACTGGAGAATTTGCAGTACTAAAAATTGACCTCCTTGTTGACAGGTTCTTCATGTTCAAGTACTGAATTGGTTTATAGAGATTAGTCGATCATTCTGGTGCATTAGTATGGTGACATTTAGCTTCAGCTACTCTAATAGCTACTGTAGTAACTTGCAGTTCTGTGCCAAAGATGCCAAAGATTCTGTGCTGATGTTCTTTAAATGAGCACTGCTGAAAGTTACAGGGTCTTTTTGTGGTTGAAAGGGTAGCGTCATCGAGAGGGAAATGTACAAAATTATTGCAGATTTCCACGACAAACCCCTTAAACTCCAACTTAATTTGAATTATAGCAGGATTAAACCATGGTGACCGGTAACTTTTTGCAGCATATGCAGTATGCCATATTAAAGCATTCTTGGGAAAAAATGCAACATTTTTGATGAACTGAAGACAGTTGAGGCCAAAATAATTAAAGTAGCCAACATTTCCTCTCAAGCTGTGAAACTGTGCAGTTCAGAAAGACAGGTATCGATTCTGATTTGATGTTTCTTAATTAAAAGTCACAGCCAAGTCTTGTGTTTTCTCAAGTTTCTGCTGTCACAACTTACTTTATCAATTTGTTGTTGGACCCCTTTGAACTTAACCAGCTAATCGATCGCGATCAACATTTTTCCTCGTTAATATCCTCTTAGGGTGTGTTTGTGAGTCTCGATCGGTGAGCAGTTTGATACATTAGTTTCTACCTCTGTGTGAAATCTGTTGAATGAATGAGGGTGGGAGTTTCATCATCACTGCCTGATAACTGCTCCATCACGCAGAAATCAATAAGTATTTATCTGTAATGAAATTAGCAATCGCTCTCTGTCCTCCCTCTCACTTTTTCTCTTCCTTCTTATTCACAAAGAAGCACAACAAACAGCAAAGAGTGTTGCTCAACAATAAGATTGGCGAATTCTCCTTCTGTTTATGGATGATTGTGTGGAATTTAGTCAATAGCATCAAAACAGACTTAATACATGGAATACATGTTGTCTACTGGTCAATATGCTTATATAGCTGTACTTAATAGTAAATGGATTTCACTTAAATGCTCCTTTAGTCACGACTTAAACCTCAGGCCTGACTCATTATGTGCATGTGAATGATACAAAAGCACACTTTGTAATTAGAATCCTGCTATTTAAGTGTCACTAATAGGACTATTAACGCTCTGCGACAAATTTATTAGGGTTCTGTAGTTTTAGACAGTACTTTAGCCGAGTGCTGTCAGATTCTTTTTAAGTGTATGTAAGGGAGACTGAATCTGTAGGGCAAAGCTAACAGGGTTAAACAAAAGTGAATGGATTAATACTGGTCCTAATTGGGCTGATTTCCTCTCATGGCCAGGTTTTAGTCCAAGAATTCATGCATAAATAATAAATAATTTCCTAAATGGCTTTTGCTTCACTACCATCTGTAGCTCTAGTTTTTGAGGATGAGCTCTTTCTCATTCCAGGTTCAGGGGAAAAGGTGGCTGTGCACAGGCTGGCACACTGTGTGGAGTGGAATGCAGAATAATAAGCGCACTTGAAACTAATTTGCCTGTAAAAATGCAGTAAAGAACTGGCAGGTAGATTTGTCTGCAAGACACTTTGATTTTACAATGTACCTACTGTTTTCTGCGAGAAGAGTTTCTCAATTTAAAAAAAACCAAAACAGTGTAGTGGTCTAGTGAAACATGTAAGTGTTTGATTTTTAAGTTCACAATATAGCAAACATATTTCACAAACTTGCATTTTAAAAAGCATCCAGATAAAACATGAAATGTCAGAATAGAAAAAATAGTTAATTTTGAATACAACGCACATTAAGAACAAGCCTTTCCACTTTTTAAACTCCACCCCTCTATGTGAATGTGGTTGTAGAGGCCAGCAGGCCTATTAGAAGAGGTGGGGGGTGGCGTACCCCCAGACTCGACGTCTTTAATATTGCATGTTGGTACCCTGGCTCCGTGCAGCCTCGCCTAGCTTCAGTTTGGCTTGGTGAGTCTTTTCCCACCATAGGTTATACGCGCAGACTTAAAATGAGTGTTTATGTGTGCGTTTGGAAGGCAAGTGCGGTCTGATGTGACGATGGAGGAGGTGTGCTGTAGGTTCGCAAAGTGTCGCAGGAGGACGTCCTCCCTCACCCTGACACTGCCCCGGCCCAAACTGGTAAGGCTTGAGATTTTAAAGATCGTCTGGGTTGCTCCCGGTGCAGAGAGGGGAGCACGGACATTGGTCCGCCTGCACATAAAATTGAGGTTAAACAGGTTTAACGAAATGTTTTTAATTCCTCAGACTCGCACTCTGTCATCCTCATCTGAGTTTAGGCCAGTTCTTTTCTTTTCCACAGCTGTTTAGTAGATGCAACATTTGTTTTCTAATTCTGAGCCTCTCCAGCCTTGATTTAATAGACTTGTAGTAAAATCAGCACCTGACATTTCAGACACTGGTGTTTGTTTCCAGTCTCGCAGAGCTGCACGGTCTTTGATCGAAGAGTGCCGCCATTCTCAACTTCACTAAGAACTTTTTTCTATTTTATTTTCCCTGAAAATCTCTACATTGAGGGGCATTTTATTGTTTTTGAAGCAGGTTTCCTAGTGATGTTTACTGTGATGTGCATTTGGGAATTATTTGGCGTCCAGTTAATACAAATTTCTCTAAAGAGACTTGGAATTCACAATATGGAAACTCGTGACTCGTCCCCCTCTGTGCTTGAAGTGGCTCTGTGGTATGTGAAGCGTCTTGGTTCAGTGCAAACTGAAGGCTACGCAAATGTTTATAGGTTACACCGGTGAGGTTGCTGGTTCTGCGCCTTTGCGCTCAGTTAACACTACAGCACTTTGATGCTCTTGCCTTTGGAAGCCTCTTGACTGTTTGACTGACAGCTTTACCTCATTCTGTATCTGGATTTAGTGTTATTGGAGAGCGAGCTCTCAGCAGCTCAGATTTTGAGTGTATGTGGGCAATTTTCAGCAAACGTGATAACAAAATAAAAACAATATTGATTTTGTTTGTATCAAAGCTCACACGTCTTTGTGGAAATTGTCTTCTTCTCTGGAAGTAGACACATTTATTTATTTACTGTCTTTTTTTTGCTTGGTGTATTTTTCTGATTTAATTGATTAACTTGGAGTTTCATGCATGTGCTTTTGTGCTTATTTCTGCCTTTTTTGGAGGGAGGGAGGGAGGGGGGTAAATACATTTCCATCTGTTGAAGTTTGAGTATTCATCTGTGTCCTTGTGTGTACTCTGTACATGTGTAAGCTGTCTGTGTAACGAGGAAACCAGGATTTACTGTTTAATTGTTTTTGTTGAGGTCACTCCAAAAATATCAAAGCAACCTCCAAACCTTCACAGTGTACCAGATATCGTATCTGTCTGCACCCCGGCTCATAATTCACTGCAATGTGAAATATCCTGAGCTCCATCGTCTTCAGGTTAATTAGCCCGGAGCATGTGAAACCAGCTGTGGCTTTCAGCCTGATGAAACAGCTGTGTGCGTGCGCACGCGCGTGTGTGTTTGTCACTGTTAACTGTGTCTGTGCGTGTGTGTGTTTGCCTCTTTTGAACCTTGTGCATGTTTGCCTCAGCTGAACTCATATCCTCTTCACCCTCTCTGTTTGTCTTCTTCTGTATCTCCCACTTCCTCTCTGTCTGAGCAGCTTCCTGCCGATCTCAATAAGATGCACCTAACAGACCATGCCCACCAGCAGGTGATGCACATGCCGCCCAGCCAGTCGGGATGCAGTATCGCCAGTGACTCGGGTAGCAGCAGCCTTTCAGATATTTACCAGGTGGGTACCTCGCTGTTTATGGTAAAAGTTTATTGTATTTATTTGCAAATAAACCCACACATAAATATGGATTTATGGATACAAATTTCCACAAAGCTGATTATTTTTCCCTTTCATTTTGCCAAATTCCTCTTCTCTTTCCTTTAATTGTTCAAATTCATTATAAAAAGTCAGTATTATGTAAAATAGGATCCAGCCAGTCAGTTAAAACTACTCTTGTCTCACAAATTACTTGAAGTATCCTCTTGCTTTTACTGCAAACAAGCTTTTAATTGAATGATCTCTTTCCAGTCCTGTGACAAAACCCTGTCTACTGTTTCTGGTCGTGTGTTTTGCTGAAAGGTGAATTCTCTCCATCTTCATGTGTTCTCAGTTTATCAATCAACCCTCCGCCCACCTTCCTTCTAATCCTTTTTGTCTCTCTAATTATTGTGCGTCCTGGTGACTCGTCCCCCTCTGTACTTCCTGCAGCAGATTAAAGGTCACATGTAGAAAATGAACCTAACACTTACAGCTCCATCTTTAGCTGAGCTACAGCAGGTAGAACAGCTCAATCTACATAAGGGAAATTCCTACGTGTAAAAGTAAAATAGCCAAAGAAGAGCCTTTGTCTTTGTATCTGTCTAACATTCCTGCAACATTTTTGGCAGTTGAGCAAGCTTTTAAGTGTAGACTGTGTGAGTGATTGCAAATCAGTAACCCATAAAAGCAAACATAAGCTTTCCATGTAATCATTTTAATCCCTTAGCTCTCCTAATCCCCCCTCTTTACACAGAAAGTTGCACTAAATTTAACATTTCGGCACTGTCTTTCAGCTATCTTCCCCCCACTTTACAACCTACATGCTATATTCTGCACACGTCTGTGAATATGTGTATAGACGTCCTTTTTGACAGTGGCTTGTTAGTTCTGCTGGCTTTAATGGGAACCAGCGTGGCCTGTTTGCCACACACTAATGAGCTAGTTGATGTGCTGGTGCGATCTGTGGGCTCTGCTGGCCACAAAACTAATTTGTTTGTTTCACCCGGGAATGTTAATGCAGCTTATGTTTTTTTTCTAGGTTCTAGTACATACTGTAAATGTTACAACAGCGCATAACAAAACGTTCGCCAACAAGATAACGTTGGTGAAAGATAAGGTTGGGTAACACGGGAGAGTGATCAAAGCAGACAAACTGAGGAAATCGCCACAAATTACCCGGAGGGGGGAGACTTGCTGAATTAAAAAAAATAAATAAAATGAAATCCTACCCCCTTTCTTTCTCAGGCTGTGACTGCAGATTGATGTAAGTCAGGTCGGCCCGGGTCAAACGTTTAACACAGAGACTCACTCTGTTCATCCTCAGATTAGATATTTATCACACGCATCTGATCCCATCACTTGTCGCTGACCCGGCTCTGTGTTTGTTTACAGCTGTCTTAAAGTGCTGACCCTTCACTCAGCTGTGATCCTCAGCTGTCAGTGCAGCAAACGCTATCTGTTGTGGGTTTTCTCTTACACGTTCTTTTTGTTTTTTTCCTCCTTCCGCTCCCACTTTTATCTCGGCTTAACACTCAGCAGCTCACCTCCCTCTTTCTCCTCATCTTTTCATCACTTTCTTTAACTCCTCGTAATCCTCTCTTATGCTTGTTCGTCTCCTGGCCGTGGTATATCCTGAACCTTTTTGCCTCCTTTCTGGGGATGGGACGTGGTAAAATGCAGTGGTTCGTGTAGATCTGATGCCACATTTCTAAGAAATGTCTCCCTGCCTCAGACTTGATCTGAGACCAGGGGTATTGGCCTGAAAGGGCAGACGATGCATTCTGAATGAACTGGGCTCTCAGAAGCACTGACTGATATGTCGGTGAGGAGGAAGAGAATGATTTTTTTTGTCTCTTTTTACCCCTTTTCTCCCACACTACCTACAATGTTTCTGTTAAAAGGCTTTTTGCATTTTGTCTTAGTCTCTGAGACATATTAACTGCATGGACTAATAATTAGAAGGGAAATAAAGTTTCCTATGTTAGATCTTGTACAGTTAATTTAAAAAAATCAGCCTTTCGACAGTTCAATGTGTTAAAGATGCTCCATATACTGCCGTTTCATTTAATTATTACAAGAGGAGGAAAGCACGTTTTAAAAAGTTCAGCTGCACATCTATGTTCGCATACGTTTCCTGGCTTGTTTTTTTTCCATCTTATATTCAACCAGATTAAATTCATCTACTATCCGGGAACAGGAAAGGTCTGAGGAGCAGGTGTGTTTTAAAAGTCCTCTAAATGGCTTCTTCAACCTAATTTATAAAAACAACAGCAGGCCTGAACTTTGAATGGACTATTAGCTCATTACCCTTGGGTTGGAAAAACATAAAAAACACTTTGGCCATGTCCCAACTATCCATAGAGCCTAAGAGCTTGATTGTATTGCTAGCTGGCAAGGCCATCTTACAATCTATAGACTAGGAAATTCACTTTTCCCCACCAGATATCAACAGCTAATATATCTCTGCCTGTCTTTTCAACTGTAAATCCAAAATGTAGAAAGAATGAAGTTGAAGAAAAAAACGAATAATGTAGCTGAGCAAATGAAGAGATAAACGCACAATAGTTACTGATAAATTTAGGGTAATATTGTTGGGATTTTTTTTTTTTTTGTTCAAGCTAAGGCTAATTAATATGTATTTTGCTGGCCACTTTATTAGGCACACCTTACATTTAGTATTGTATGACCACTTTGGCCTTCAGAACTGCCTCAAATTCAACAAGGTGCAAATGTTTCTCAGAGATTTTGTCCATGTTGAATTGGTTGCATCACAGAGTTGCTGCAGATTTGTCACTTGCACATCCATGATGCAATTCCCATTCCACCACATCCCCAAGGGGCTCTCTGTCTGGTGACTATGGAAGCTATTTGAGTACAGTGTTCTCACTGTCACGTTCAAGCGCTATTCTGTTAGAAGCATCAGTTGGAATATGGATATAAAGATCAGATACTACGAGGACCAAAGTGTGCCAAGAATATACTCTCCCCACACACACACACCTTTACACCCTCACTAGCAGCCTGAACCGTTGACACAAAGCAGGATAGATTCATGCGTTCATGACGTTTACACCAAATTCTGACTCTGACATGTTAACGTCGCTGCAGAAATCACATTCGTCTGTAGTCCATCTGCTTCTAGGATCACCATGTGTTCAGAGGTGCTCTTCTGCATACCTTAGTTGTAACGAGTGGTTATTTAACAAAATATCTCTTTTTCAGTAAACAGGATAAATGCTGGAGGTCTAAGTGAATTATGTGGCTAAATGAGCACATGTATTCACATTATTTTGGAAAGCAGACAGAAGCAGGGGTTAAATCAGGCTTAGCTCTCCAGCTTTTTTAGGCCCACCTAAAAAAGCTGGTGGCAAAAACAGACGGCCGGTAGCGCCGCCACTACCACCAGAGAGCTCCTCGATTCACCTTTAGTTGACGGCTCAATTCCCAACTGACATGAATGGCCTCATGCCCTTTTAGATCCATACTCTTCCAACCATCTGTCTGCCTCGCAGAGGAGAAATGCTGTGAAATATGAATTATGAGTGAATGGATTTAAATATTTGGCTGTTGGCCTGGTTTTTTGTAGTCTGGCACTTGGTGTCTGGGTGCAGCTCACGGTCGCTGCTACGGCTGCTTTTTCCAAGGTTATCCTTTTTTATGTTTCGTGCGAGTAAGTTGTTACTGAAAAGCCGTCAATGCTAGAAATTATGAACAATAAGGCTTTTTCTTAGTCTTTATGTCATCACAGTCGCACCTCTTTCATGCTCTTCATTTTTTCAATAATTGCAAATAATTGGTCACCGTGTTGTGCTTTTTAAACTGTCTTGTAATGGCATACTCCTCTTTACAAGGCCTGAGAGGACTCTTGTCATTGTAAATATCAATACCCCCAATTTGAATTTCTAGGTCACGTTATTTTGGGAATTGGAAGCTCGAGAATGATGTGAGAGTCGAGCCATTTGACACTGAGGCAATTTTAGCCCCATCAAAAGCGATTGAATTTCATAATTTAATCTTTTTCATAAGCCATAAGAAAGGAGCCTTCACATTTAATATGTAAAATGTTCAATTCATTTGTCATTTAATTGAGACATGATGGACTTCAAAGACTTCTTCCTTCCTTTTTTTAATGTTACTAACCGACCAATATTCAGTTTTTCGTTCTTTGTGTTTTGCTCCCAGGCCACAGAGAGTGATTTGGGGGATGTCGACCTTTCTGGACTTCCAGAGGCTGCAGTGGACAGTGAGGAGGAGGAGGAGGAAGATGAGGACCTGGAGAGAGCTTCGGACACTCTCCTAGGCCGAGATCTGGTCCGAGAGTGTCTAGAAAAAGATCCTGTCGACCGCAATGACGACGACATCGGTCAGTTTGACAACTTTGATTTGATTGAATTGGGATAAAAGTGACTTAAAATAAACTGACAGATTCGGGCTGTCTCAGTGGCTATTTTTAGACTCATTTAGTACAGAATGAGAGATGAGTGATATACAAATTTCCCTCTCTCATAAAGACCCCTTGCAGCTGTCCCCAAACACCAGTCTGTATTTTCAAGCAGGCACTCAGAGGCAACCTCATTAACAGAACCAAGTGGGGTCCTAAAGGAGGGTCTTGCATCAGAGAGCTGAGAGAAGCAAAGGCCTGGCCTGCTGCGTGCCTGCTGGAAGGCTGGCCTTCTCATGGCCTTCAGCATTACAAGCACAGCTCATTGAGAGGAAATACCTGACACAGAGAACAACTGAAGGGATAACAGGCTGAACCCAAATTCAACCAACTCTTATTATTCTATTTCACGTCATTAGTTACTTTGTTGATGCTTTTCAGAAACTCTCTGAAAGAATCTTCCTGAATAAACAGATAAAAATATTTTCGCTGGGCTTTCTGGGCTTTAAAAAGACATTTTTCCCAGGCGGTTGATGAATACGTCCTTGGGGCTGCTGAGATGGTTAAAAGAAAAATAAAGCAGGAGAGGGCACTTATAGTTTCGAAAATCAGGATCTTTGTTTTTCTCTCTCTTTTTTTGGAACTTCTATTACATTTTTCACCTTTGTTGGCCCCTAAAAATGTAATAAATTACTATAAAGGGATAACTGATGTAATATTTTATTTTTTTTAATATATCACAAGATAGAGAGGCTGTAAACCAGATTTAAGGACAATTGGCAGTCATCAAAATGAACCCTCTGGTACCCTTTAGAGTTTTGGTGCTTAGCTCCTAGTGTTTTTTTTTTAAACGTGATAAGTCTACATTTTATGATTGTTTTCCTCCCATGGAAAACTCTATACGCGTTGCACTTTAAGCTACTTTCCTTTAATAAGAAAAGGGAAGATTTGAACGAGGTGTTAACACCAAGAGGAGTAAAAAGGAGCTACTGAGCCAAGCAGCATAGTTTGCAGGTTGGAGCTGGGTCACTGTGCTCTCAGCTGCAGTGCAGAGGAGGCAGAGGGAAGATGAAGAGGAAAGGTAGAACTTGTAAATGTTTCTGAGGAGTCATAAAAACTAGTAGTGCGCGCTGATCCACTTGTGCTTGGAGGGGTTAGATTTAAGACTTAAGAGCTGATGTGGAGGCATGTTTGCTGTTTGTTTGTCAGCAGCAGTGTGCCAACGCTCAAGCCCAATTTAATAAGATTTAGAGATTAAAAATTTGGTGTGCAATGCAGCATTGTCCTTGGAATTCTGCAAGTCCTCTTCTATTTTTTTTTCTATTTTAATCACGAGTTTTTACAGCATTTCAGAGCACCAAGGGCTGAGACGACAAGCATCCTAAAATGTTTTGTGTTTGTATTGACATTGGCAGTTGCTCTGGTGAAGTTAACATTTTCTTGCAGACCATTTAAAAATCTATAGATCGTTTTGGAAATGTTGCAGTTTGTCTGTGGTGGGGGAAGAAGAAAAAAATCAATGTGCATTTTGCCCTGAACACCTGAGACACATCGCTTTAGTCAGCGCACGGTCTTTTCATGCTTGTTCCTCCTTCTTTTTCATTTGACTTCTTCTCTCTGCTGCTTACTTTTTGTGCAACACAGAGCAACTGCTGGAGTTCATGCACCAGCTGCCTGCCTTTGCCAACATGACCATGTCCGTGCGGAGGGACTTGTGTAGCGTCATGATGTTCGAAGTGGTGGAGCAGGCCGGCACAGTCATACTCCACGACAAACAGGAGGTATGAACAGGGTGAAAAGGGACACACAGAAGCTGAACAAGTTCTATTTAACCTTCAGAATTCAATTCTTCAACAACAACTAGTGGTATTCATTTTTCACCATCTTATTTTGCCACTTTACTGACTTAGATTAATTGCTTCCAGTGTAATTACAGCATGCAAAGTATGTTTTTATTATATCTGCTTTGATAACACACTAAATTCCCTTAATAGTTAAATGAGTGTTTATCTTTACTCAGTCTGACACAAGGTCTGTTTGCTGAGTTGCTGAATCTTAATTGGGCAATTAATGTAATCACAGTAGAAAAAAAAATCTTAACTTTGCCTTTTGTTATCAAGCAGAACAGTGATGTAACCTTTGAAAAGACATAAATAAGTGCGCACAAGTATTAAACAGTTGCAAACACGCCAACGTACCCATTATGGAAAGCAGTGATGTAGATGTGGGAGCATATAAAGGCCTTCACACATACGAAAGAAGAACATATACGGAGCAACGTGCGCTTCCCTGTGCACAGGTGCACACACATCCTCGCCATCGTAATTCACGAGGCAAAACTGGTATGTGCAAAGTCACCGCAGCATATAAGCCCCGTCAATCACTCGAGCTGCTACACAGCTAATTAATTAAGTTACATGCCTGAGAAACGGGGGCCCTGTCATGGCTGTTTGGTTACATGCAGCAGCATTAGAACTGACAGGGTGATAAATGGCAATGAACTGCCAGCCGCCGAGCTCGGAGGAGGACGGGAACGCACATCAGCAGGGCAAAACCATAAACGCGCACTTTAGTGGAAAGAAGACACAAATAGGTGATGTGCGTCTGTGTAACCAACTCCGTACCGTCTGTGTCGAGGCAGTTGATGGGCATTTTTCCTCCACTCCACTGCCTCTCTGTGGACTCTGTGTTGAAGGTCAAAAAGAAGCACTTGGCACTTCTCGGAAGTGAGCATGACTTTGCTAAGTGAGTGTGAAGAGGGAAAGGAAAATAAAGAGTCTAAAGTGGTATTACAGATGTAGAAAAGAGAGAGAAAGTGCTCCATATGCTGGAAAGGAAGCGAAAATGGACAATGGGGGAGTCGAGGGAGCGTCACATGGAAAGACGCTTTTGAAGAAGAAGAATTTGTCCTTATGATCAGGGGTTAAAGTGGGATTTTGCATGCGAGAGAAACCTCAGTGCAGCTCGAGGAAAAGAGTGACTTAGAAAATAAGTCGCATATTCGTTTGTTATGGGAGCTTCAGTAGATTTTTCTTTGTGTACAGGCTGTAATTAGCTGTGCTGCTACATGCACCCTTTGAATAACAGAAGTAAACGTCTTATAGTACATTTCTATACTTCTTCATAGAATGAGTTAAATGCTAACAAACAAAATGAGCTCCATTCGTACAACCTACCCTACTACTTGGTTACATTGTATGTTTTGGGTGGCTGTGGCTACAATGTAGCTTGCCATCACCAGTGTGTGAATGTGTGTGTGAATGGGTGGATGACTAGTAAAGCGCTATACAAATACAGGCCGTTTACCATTTTCTCTTGCTGGGAGAACTGTACCTTTTAGCTAGCAGACACATTGTGTGACAAACTGCGCGGAACCAACTTGCGTGTTTGGCGATTTTTGATGAGCTGTTTAAAAAGATGTCCCTCTGTTTATGCACGCTCCTCTTCAGTCGGGCTTGCTAGATACTTTAGTCCGGCAAGGGCAACTTCACATCTGCACCATGAGCGCATCACAGGGATGCAAAGGTAAAAGAGAGGTGTTGAAGGTATAAGCGGGGCCTGGGATGTGTCTGTGCAGTCAATGGAAGCAATGACATTTTAACTCATACCACAGTAATATGTATTAACCCGCATTTCAGACTTAATTACTCATTTCCTGGTGGTGTTAGAACGCCACTCCAGATTGATAATAGGAAATAAGAACATTTTCCCTACCCGTGCAGGCTTCATTACTCATAGCAATAAATTCAGATGGTCTATCCTACAGGAAATATTATATTTGTGTAAAGTTTATTTAAAAGAGAACTTTTGTTCACAGCGCATGTGTTGCGGATCATCGTAGCCCACCTTATTAGCATTTTGATTATTTATTAGCATTAGAAATTGATGTGGGAGCCAAACTGTGAAGCACAGAGGGTAGAATCGGAGATTTGCTAGGTGAGAAACAGCAAGAGAATGAAAAGGCAATGAGGAGGAAATATCAGTTATTGCTGCAGAGGGAGCCCAGGGCTCATTCACCCGCCCTCTGTCCGCTCACACTCAGGATGAATGGCTTGTTATATTATGCCTGCTAGCATTTCTTTTTCAAAAGCCACCACTAGAGACACAATACCTCTTCACCAGCCTACTCATACCTCACACAAAGCACATTATGCTCACAATTTACCACATTTAGTAATGTATTGCCATTTTAATAGACGTTCTAGTGAAGCTGTAAAGGTCTGTAAATCTAATGATTCAAGATAAATCCATGCCAAGTGACGGTAATGATTCCTTTTTGCTCGTCTGCGGTCGAGCCAGTATGTATTTAACACTGGTTTTAACAGATGTACCCATTTTACCCTGTTTTGATAAAAGAAAAGTAAAAAAAACCACACACATAGAAATCAGCAATGCTGTTAGATTTACAATCTCTTCAAGCAAAACAAAAGTTTGACATTGTTTATTTTGTGGTCATTTTAAAAATTATTTCTATTATTTCTACTCCTCCGTCTGTAGCTGGACCACTGGTATGTCATTCTGAACGGAGCAGTCGAAATTAGCCATCACGATGGGAGAACGGAGACTCTTTGTATGGGCAACAGCTTCGGCATCTCACCCTCACTGGATAAGCAGTACATGAATGGAGAGGTTCGCACCAAAGGGGATGATTGCCAGGTAAAAATAATCGATTTTTACACTGTTATAATTACACTTTTTATCATTGCTTTTATGCACTAAGAGAACTCTGTGAGGGGTTTGTGTTTTCTTTAAAATCTTGCTGTGTTTAAGCATTTTCTGGAAAATGTGTGTCACAGTGCGAGAATCACAAAGTGAAGTCCTGCTTTCATTTCTTCTTTCAAGCGCCCAGTAGTGGTTTGCAATCACAGCGAAATCTACGTGTCAAAAGTACGCTTTCCCTTCTTTCATAATCTTCTTATAAAAAGGTGGAATGAGTAAATAAAAAGAGTTCAAATTTAATACAGCATTTTAGTTGTGAAGACACAGGCGTAGCTTGCGTCATATCTTTCACATCGCATACACTAGCAGCCTTTCTAAGAGCCTTGTGGGTTTCACAGAGAAACTTGGTCTTAATATAGAGCAGGAACCTGAAAGGTAGAAGAAACCTAGCGTGTACTCGCGGTAACATTGCCTCTGTCCACACTGGCCAGTTCCTCTGCTGCACACATCATTTCCTGTCTTTATATGCAAAGGAAGTTGCAGAGGTAGGGCTTGGTTAGGCAAATGCAGAAACTGATGATTTACTCAAGGGAAGGCATAGCAAGAGACGATGCTTTAGAGTAGTAAAGACTCGTGCCGTCTTGTCACCATGGTATAATGGGAGGTTAGTTTAGTTGGTGTCTAATTTATAGCAAAGGATGCTTCTGCAAAATAGCTAGCTGAGATGATTTTGGACCACCATAGGTACTTTAAATTTAGGCAGAGTATCGGGTTTAGTTTTGTTAGTGTTAGACGTTCCTACCTTCATCCGTTCGTCCCTCCCATGCCTCTCTCTACCATCCGTAATTCTACATCTGTGCTGTTGTTTGAATACCCGAATGTGGTGCAGAGCAGTATTTTGCTCTACTACAAGTTCATCCGCTGTCCTCATGTTATCCTCGACCAGTTTGTCTGCATCGCCCAGGAGGACTACTGGCGCATCCTCAACCATGTGGAGAGGAATACGCACAAGGTGGAAGAAGAGGGGGAGATTGTGATGGTGAAGGAACACCGGGAGCTGGACCGCAGCGGGACCAGGAAAGGACACATTGTCATCAAGGTTAGTAATTTAAAACGTTAAAGAGCAGCAGAGGGGTCCCAGAACAAGAGCCTGCTTTGCTTTTTGTGTGAACCCAACCTCAACCGCAAAAGATGTTTGAGGTTCAAACGTAGGATCAAGACAGAGTGGCACTCTTTGTTTTTCTTTAACTGACTCGGTGCCAAAATACAATTAACCTTTTGCAATAACATACTCTAATAAAGATGAGACAGGCAGAGACACGCTGAAGGATTAACACCCAAGGTCAAGGTTAAGCTTCTAATCATGCCAGAAGCTAATAAGCACGTTTAATCTCACCCTGAGCTTGTAACATGACTTGCTTCTGAAACCAGAAAGTCACGGTTTCACACGTTATCATCTGCTAAAAGAAATACTCAAATGCCCCGTGATTGATTTAAGTACATCATCATTACAAATCGACCATCCCCCTCACATGCATCATCTTACAAAAATACGAGTGTAGCTGCTCGATGTTGTTCAGTGATTGTTAAGAGACAGAGTTAGCACTATTAGTGTTTGCCAGAGCTTTTTTTTTTTTTTAACGCTACATTGTAATGCCTTCCTAAACCCTTTTGATCCTTTCCCTGAATCTCCAGAGGCAGCCCAAGGTATTGATCCGATAATGGGCATGAACGATTCTCTTGGCTGCTGCTCCAAGGAAAAGCTGCTGGCTCTGAAACACGTCCAGCGGATAAGAGTCGATTCACGCGTGTTAGCATTTCTGCTTCTGTTTTTGGCTTTGTTCTTTTTGTGTCTGACAAAAGTGGATTCTTTTCTAGTTTCTGTTCCCTGTCAAATGAAACATCCCCCCCGAGAAACCTCTGCTATGGTGGCATTAACAATAACAAACTCACAGAAACAAGAACAGTGACGTTTATACGTCACCGATACTTTAAGTCTGCTGCTTAGGAAAAAAAAATTCCCCTAGACACAGAAAAAGGAATGTAGCCTTGGATATTTGAGGTATTTTATTCTTATACAAATCTAAATTATCAGTAATTCTGCAAAAAAAAAAAGCATTTGCACTTGTAAAATACTTGTTCTGTGTGTGTGTGTCTTTTTTATTGATGGGACACTGACAGCTCTGTTCAATACCTGCACCTTTATAGCTTATGTCCTTGTCACTATTCTGATTGATATTGACACAGCTTGGTGTTCTTGCCTCTCAGATCCTTCGTGACCTTGGACTTTAACTGTCTTACATGTGTATCTATGTTTTTCTCAGCTCATCCTTATGTATATATATTTGTGTGTGTGTGTGTGTGTGTGTGTGTGTGTGTGTGTGTGTGTGTGTGTGTGTGTGTGTATTTTTCACCCCAGGGAACACCCGAGCGTCTGATCATGCACCTGGTGGAGGAACCGTCGGTGGTCGACCCCACCTACATCGAAGACTTCCTCCTGACCTACAGGACTTTCCTTTCAAGTCCCATGGAGGTTGGCAAGAAGCTGCTGGAGTGGTTCCAGATGGACAGCCTTCGTGACACGGTGAGTGTGTGTGTGTGCGCATGCATGTATGACTATCTTGTGGCCGGTGGTCACTTTCTCGCGCACCTTCAGATTTCTATTTGAGTGCCATCACTTGAAAGGATGGTAACCTGTGCCTGTTGGGGTTGCGTTGGGCAGTTGTAATTGGGATGGTTAAGATGTGGATAAGGAGCTTTCTCATACTTTTGCATGGTGTATGGAGAGATGTGTGAATGCTTTCACACAGTATCAGTAGGTGTGAAAAATGTAAAAAGCCACAAAGTCTGGAAATGGCAAAGCATTAGCATGTGTAGACGCTGCAAAGGTGAAAATGCTTATACAGTTAAAACGGTCTACATTAATCATTCATTATACGGTGGTTCTCTAAATGGCGGTCCCTCTTGATGTTTTGCATCCATGCATGTTGATGGAAATCCACGTGTTGTGCCTCGGCCACGCCGATCAATACGAGTTCAGCAAGCTCAGCCGTCTTTGAGCACTGTAGCGATTCGTGCGTGCCTGACACTCCCGTCGTCCACAGCTACGTTAACCTAAGATTAGCCTTGTACAGTCGATAGTCTTTATGCGGTTGTCATTCAGGCTTATAATCTTCAGCCCCCTTAAAGAGGAACTAATCTTGTAGAGAACGAACACAGAGCGAGAGAGAGACAGAATATGGAAGACGAGAAAAGAGAGCATGAGCATAAGTTGCCTTGGAGACACGCACACACACAAACACTGGCACAAAGGAGAGTGAAAAGCAGAGTGTGTACATCGATCCTCTTTATTGATGCATTGTGTTCTACTCTGACCTTTTGCAAAGGTTGGAACAATGTTCCCACCCGTGTAAATTTACAGATGTTATTATTTCCTTCTGCCTTTTTTCCCTTTTAATTATTGTGGCAGAAATTAAGCCGTCAACTAGTAGTTAACAGCTTTTCTCTGCAGCCATATGCTCGTTATTATACAGCCTCTGTTTCTTATGCGTTACTAATTACTATGGTTTTTCTTTCTTTCCTCAGAAGCTAAAGATAGATACCTCTATAATTGGACTGAAGAATTAACCGAGTTTGCATTTTGTTATGGTAACAGTCATATTTTTAATCTGAAGCTGTAGGTTGTAATTAATAGACTCACATTTCCAAGCATTTCGCCTCCCAAAGTGTCCTTGAAAGTCTAACTCCTGGTAGAGTTCAATTCAAGATGATCTCTGACTTTAGCAAGCAGCATAATTATCAATCACATTTCCTGCGAAGCTCAGCTGAAGGACTTTGGAGAATGTGAAATGTAAAAACACATTCACAAGACCTACCTTTGTGTGCTTTGTCTCGCTGTTTCACAGGTAACAAGAATAGTGCTGCTGTGGGTCAACAACCACTTCAACGACTTCGAGGGTGACCCGGCTATGACGCGCTTCCTGGAGGACTTCGAGAAACATCTAGAAGCCACAGTAAGATCAAATAAAGACTGTTGACTTATTCTCCAATTCAGTGCTTTTAAGCTCAGAAATTGTGTTAAACAGCCATCAGCGTTTTCTCCAATAGTAATAGTGATGTTAGCTTTTATTTACCTCAGCTTGTGTAATTGGCCACATTTTGGCACAATGTCTTGTTTTGATGTGCTCGTTGATTTGCCCTATCAAAGTTCTCGGATTAGCCTTTAAATAAACACTCAACACCTCCCTGCCCTCTAGCAGAAATCCTTCATCGCATGCAATAACAAAGACATCAAAAATTATTTAAATGCTAATTCAGAACAACAAGTTCTTGAAAGTAACAAGTCTGTCTCTGTGAACTCATTAAATTATTTCTGCACTTTTTCCTCAGCTTTTATTGCTGAAAATGTAAAATATATTTCAAATATTAAAATCATCATGGTCATAGCTAAGCCTCACACCTCTAGTTTTATTGGTGTATTATGATAACTCTTTATGGTCTAGATTCCCTGGAGCAGAATGCTAGATAAGGTCAAACAGTTAATGCATTTTTAAAATTATTATTGTTGTCCAAAACAACTTGCAAACCTAAGGATGCGAGCGCACATGTAAATGCAGTTCTGTTTCAGTTCATAATTTTCTCATTTTTACCTCATCGTCAGAAAATGAAGGGCCATCTGAGACTGCTGAACATAGCATGTGCAGCCAAGGCTAAGTGGAGACAGATCACTCTGCAGAAGGCATCTAGGGAATCACCGCTCCACTTCAGCGTGCAGGGCGGCAGCGAGAGAGGATTTGGCATCTTTGTCGAGTCGGTGGAAGAAGGAAGCAAAGCTGCAGAAGCAGGACTCAAAAGGGGGGATCAGGTAAGAGGACAGTAAGGAATAGTGTGGTGAAGTCCTAATATACATACACCGCTGCATGAAATGCACAGTGTATATATATATATATAGGTCTAATTACTTTTACTTTGCAATCCTGGCAAGTACTTTATTCCATTTAAATGCATCCCTAGATGTTAATTAGTCCCCAATTAAACAGTTATAACGAGGACCATCACGGCGCTTCAGTCAACTAGTTCCCAGATGATTGTGGACTGTATAGCATGCAGTCACATAATTAAATGTTCTGTGTGATGTGATCCACCCCGATCAACTTAAAAATCATAATAAATATATATTTATTAAAATCTTTCAGGTTTTAGCTCTTCCCAGCAGGAGTACTGATCTTTTACCACAGTATATCACTTCAGCATAGTCTCATGATTTGGTTTGTCCAGCGGTTACAAGGTCAGCAGTCTTATTTAGAGGATCTAATGCGACAGTGTGGTTACTGTACAGTGGTCTGTCACACAGATTCTTCCCATTGCTGGTGCGTAATGAGCCTTTCGTCAGCACACTGCAGCCTGTTAATTAGAAAGTCTGATCATGTTTAGTGACTTCTCTAAATTGTTAAGATGCCATTTGATGTCTACTAAGGTTTCCGGGGGGGGAGGGGACAGAGACAGAGACAAAGGTGCACGTAGTGGACATTATTGATTTAGAGTGGATGTTAGGAAGGGCAAAAAAATGCAAATCATGACTTTGAAAAATCATCTCAGTGTTGACAGAATCATGCATTTCTTCTTAAAGGCTGATCAGCATTCAGGGAATGAAAGAGGGAAGTAAAAACAGTAGTGCTATCCTCATAGTCAGTCAAACTGGAGTAAAGATTTATTTCTCAGCATAACAAGCAGGAGCTTGGAGTCTGGTCAGTATTTAGGGAACGGAAAAAGGAACTTGAAACAATAAAGCCAAGTCCTTACATATATCTGCCCTGCAGCTCTCGTTACCTCAAACCTGGACAAAGAGTCACTCATTAAAACGGAAGTTGAGTGGCTTTGAGGGCCAAATGTAGATTTATTCATCAACTCAGCTGGGAGCTGAAGCTTAAATGGCAATAATTACTAGATTAGATTAAGATGGTCTGAGTATTAAAGCCATCAACTGTCATTCACACAGATATCATTACCAGCTGGAATTTAGGTTCGCGGTATAACTAATGAAGGTATTTGAAGAAGACAGTTCTGTTATAACGGTGGTTAAAGTGAAGGTCTGGCTGCCTGTAGCTGCACATCTGAAGAACTTCATAATGACTCATTTTGTCTGTATTTGTGTCGCTAGCCTTTGTGCTTGTTGTTGACACAGTTACAGATCAGATATCCTTATGCTGAACGTGTCACAGTGAGAAAACAGTTAGCCCTGAGCTATTTTAATCTGGGACCCTTTACTGTTGCTGTCAGGGACGCTGTGAATGAGACTGAAATAGTTTGTGGTATTTATTTTTCACAACCTCACTGTAAGGACTCTTATACTTGATGCAGGTGAACTGCTTTCACATTTTTTTGATTGACTTACTGCTTTTTAAAAACAAACTGTACAGTATTCACTTGAAGCAGATTCTTCTCCTCTAAAGGTGGCATGAAAGGAGGAGTAATAGAGGACCAGAGCCACCTTATTAAGAGATACGCCGAGTTAAGAGAAATAAAAATAATACCAGCTGTGTTTCAGATTTGAGTCCAAGATCTACATTGTGTTTTTGTCACAGTAATTTGAGACTAGTGGTCACCCCTGCTGTGCTTCAGGCAGTTTTGATTCTTTGCTGCCATGTTTTTCATTTTTGAATCTATCTTGCTTCAGATCATGGAGATCAATGGTCAGAACTTTGAGAACATCTCCCTCTCCAAAGCTGCAGACATCCTACGAAATAACACACACCTCTCCCTCACAGTTAAAACCAACATCTTTGGTGAGTACATTTGGTTGCACGCCAGTTTTTGACATCCTGTCACGAGCTGTAAAAGATGGTAGAAAACCCACGAAGCCACGAAAAATAAAATAAAACAAAGCTACATTTCTCTCTGTTCCTCCTCCCATTCAGTCTTCAAAGAGCTCCTTAGCAGGATCGCGCATGAGAAGAAGAACGGCGGCCTTCACATTCCCAAGATCCAGGAGAAAAAAGGCAATCGTTTCTCCATCGCAGACCTTCCCGGAGACATGGAGTTCCCCACTGACCACAAGGCCACCCGAAAGATGAAGGCCAACACTGTGTCTGGAGGACGAAACAAGATCAGGAAGATGCTGGAGAAGACGCGCTTCAGTATACTGCCACCTAAACCTTTCAGGTAGGCGTACACATGTGTAAAAAAAGAAAAACGGAGAAGAACTGCTGCCTGTATAAGCTTAAAGTAAAATTAAGTATAGAAGAAAATACTGTAAGGCTGGGATAGCGAAAATGGGGGGAGGATTTTTTGATGGGGCGATCGTGGCTCAAGAGTTGGGAGTTCGCCTTGTAATCGGAAGGTTGCCGGTTCGAGCCCCGGCTTGGACAGTCTCGGTCGTTGTGTCCTTGGGCAAGACACTTCACCCGTTGCCTACTGGTGGTGGTCAGAGGGCCCGGTGGCGCCAGTGTCCGGCAGCCTCGCCTCTGTCAGTGCGCCCCAGGGTGGCTGTGGCTACAATGTAGCTTGCCATCACCAGTGTGTGAATGTGTGCGTGAATGGGTGGATGACTGGATATGTAAAGCGCTTTGGGGTCCTTAGGGACTAGTAAAGCGCTATATAAATACAGGCCATTTTACCATTTACCATGTTGGCAAAAAAGTGTAGTAATTTTGTAGTAACAAAAATAGCATGCCATGAATCGAATGGTTTATGGGAGGGTGTTAGCACATTAGTGGTTTTCCTTGACAGCTTCAGACAGGGTGTGATTGCATCAGTCCACTTCCTTTCCATTGGTGGTTTTATTTGTACATAATTTTCTTCAGCAGGTGTGCAATTGTGACTTACTGACTAAAGTTCCTCGGTGCCCATCAGAAAGCATCAGCGTAGCACATTTTACCCTCTTCTTTCAGCTCGTGACAGTAGGAAATTGATGATGACTAAAATGCTTGCACACATTTATAGATAAGTGGTGTTTCAGAGTCCAACCAATTCAACACAAACTACAGGGACCTCTTCCTGAAAAGATACCTTAGCTGCATGAAATGTCAGATTTTCATCAGTGAGCACTGCTGTGGAAGTGCACAGCCTTTCACAGGACCAGCACAGAAAACTTCCAGGTACTGTTGGGTATTTACGAGGAATTTCCATTTCTGGAAGTTTCACAAGCTTGAGAAGCCTGGCGGTTCAGCCTCAGTCTAATCAGCCTAATCTTTCACGTATTTTCAGCCGGCGTGATGCAGATCTTTTCTAGGCAAATCACAAGAACGCAAAAAAACATTATCATCTCATAAGCATTGCCAATCCATAACCAGCCATTGTACTGGCAAGCATCTGCGGCAATCGAGGCTCACATTCAGTACTCCTCCCGTAACAGGCTTGATTTCATTTGATCATTTCATGCCTCTCCAGGCCTCATTTAAATCCGTACTGTGACTGTGTAGACAGGAACCCTGTTCTCTGTTAATTACAGAGCCGGCTCACTCAACTTTTCTGTCTCGCTGTCGCCGCTCTATCAGTTTCCATCTTCGCAGTGATGTCCACAAAGCCACAGAGTTCGCACGAAAAGTAAACGCGCTCCGTCTCATGACGCAACACACTATCACACGGCTATTGAACCGACTTTGTGCTATCAAAGCAAAAAAGGACTTTCATTGCTTCCTCTTTTTCTTTTTCTTTTTTTCTCTGCAAGTTGGCACCATTCAAAGAGCCTTTGGTTCAAAGGAATAGATGGATGATTAAAGGGAGTGGAGATGAGAATGGAGATGAGACTGGTGATTTGGGTCAATCATGATTCATCAGTGCCTGTTGTGGGATGAAAATTTGAGGGGAGGCCATCATGTGAAGTTGTCTACATTTTGTGTGTCTGTTTGCGCGCGTATGTATGCCTATATAAGAAAGGTACGGGCTGTTCCGAGGACAGTGCACTTTATAAAGTGCAGTTAAAATTATGCACACACTCTTACAATTCACAGTTAAGTCAGAAAACCTTGTGTTTTAAGACTCAACGGTGCTCCAGCCAAACTGGGTTATTTACGAAGTGATCGTCACGGCGACTGCTTCTTCTGATCTTGGACGTCATTGTACTCCACTGCAGAGTAGATTTTTATATGACAAGGGGACGCAGGCAGTAAACACGTTGTCTCTCTGCCAAATGAAGATGTCCAGCCTTGTGCATTTGCCTTAATACACATCCCATATTATTCACCCCAGATGATTTACATTGCTTAGATTGAAAAGCAATACACTGAGGTTTTAGCCTCTAGCCTCTACTCAGTTTGTCTTTCAAGTCATCCCCCTTTCTTTTTGTTACAGTTACATTTGCTAACTTGTGATATGACCACAATAACGAGTGTGTTTTTTAACGATTGTGTCTGCCATGACCTCCACTTTTTATTGCAGTTATGGCTTTACTGTAAATTGTCCAGGACATTATTATTCTCACAGATACTGATTTGCCTTTACAGCAGATTAAACGATAGGAAGAATCCTTTGGACTAGTTAGATAGTTAGCTTTTGTTGCCAGACTTTTAACAACTAGTAAACTGGAGCTTCATCTAATCTAATCTAAACTCATACTTCCTGATTTTTCGGATTGGATGGATATTTAGGTGTGCGGTTTGGTTGACTGACCGTTGATTTTTGGGAATGCACTTTCAGATTATGTGAAAAGTGGTGCTAGTGTGTCATTTGTTTAGTATTTACATCATTTAAAGACTGAGGATGTGAGGAGGCCGGCAAAACAGCTCTACCACTGCTGAGCAGTTCACGACATGCTGGTAGCAGCGATGTTACAATACAATACAACTTTATTTGTATAGCACATTTAAAACCAGCGCTACACCAAAGTACTTTACAGTAATACATATTGTGCTCATACATGTTGTGCTCATCTGAGTCTCCAAATTAGTTTTCTTCACCCTTCTTTCATGTCAAACTATGTGTAGTTCATGTTGCTGTTAAACTGCATAATATCAGATAGAAGGTTGATCCTATTATTTAGCCTGATATCAAACTGGGTTGATGAGTGATATGAGCGATCCTCATGTGTGTCCTGCTGCTGCTTGCTAACGTCTCATGTTGTGGATAAATCTGTGCTGGCGTTATGAAAGTTGCTGTTGACATTTTTCTGCTTATTTATTTCAGCAAACCTGTCAGTGTCTAAACTTCAGCTGTTGTGCGTCCCGTCAGCCTACATGTTTGTTTGGGCCGTGTGTTTGTGCGAAGAAAGCAGCCTTGTCATACACAGGCATTGTCTCACTGCTACACTGACATTGCTGAATGACTTCAGCAGAAATCTGTTTTGTTTTGTTTGTTTGTTTGTTTGTTTTTCACTTTTTCACACTTTTCAATGTTGTCTCTCTCCCGTTTGCCTCCGCTGCTTCAGGGGCCTGTTTGGGTAAGACCTCTTGCGTAACTCCCCATCCTCCAGCCATTTTATTCAGTATCCATCTGTAGACCTGCGCACAGCAGGCAGCCGCATTTTCACCGGCACTGCTGACCTTCAGCAACATGACTAGAGGACTACATTTGTAGGTTTAATTCCTTAAGTGCATGAATGCCAGCCTTCGCTTCATTTTCCTAATCAAACAAACTCTGCAGCTACATTTATGTTCAGGGCTTTAACATATTGAACTCAGTTACACTATGTTGTACAGCCAAATGTATTTTATTTAGGGTTATTACAAACAGAAACGGTAATGGCTACAAACTGTTTTGGTCCATTTAACAGTCAGAACAGCTGCCATCTAAATACAGCAGATGAGTATTTGTGCTATAAACTAATTAACTTCTTGAAAACTTTGTAATCATCATCTCCGGCCAAAAATAATTTCAATTTCTGTACATTGGTGCTTGTAATTGTGATCAACAGCAACCCATGCTTGTCATAACTAAACTAAAGAGCCACCAAAGTCTTAGTCTAGTCTTTTAAACCCAATCCTATCACTGCCTGTCTCAATGTCACTGTTGTCCGCCTCCTAAATCTTTTTGTCCTTTTCCTGCTTGTTCTTCGTCCACCTGTGCCGTCTTTCCATCTCCCCGTCTCGACTCTTTTGTTCCGTCGTGTCGGTGCAGTGCCTGTCAGCTGGGTGATCCAAAGATTACAGAGGCTTTGCTACAGCAGCGTGCAGCTGTGTTAGTGGAAGCCCTGCATTACTGCACCGTGTTCCCTACATGCTGTACAGACACTCACACCTAGAGGGAAGCTGCGATTAGTATGCAGGCAGACTGGGGTGAACTCTCGCTGTCAGACACTACAGTTTCTCAAAGTCAGAAAGATCCATTTGTCATCTGCAGGATGTTCAATCCCTGCTTTGTTTCTTATTTTTAGCATGCGGCATTTTAAAATTTGCTGCTTTCAATCGAAGCTTCCACAGCTACAAAGGTTTTCTTCAAAGCTTCAGATGACGCATTTTTCATTCCAGGTAGGTTTTTTGGAGGCTAAATCCGAACACCCGACCTCTGTTTTAGTGTCTGAAGAGTTACCATCTCCATCACATGCTTCCCAATCAAGAGAGGCCAGAATGAGGTTGTTAATATAAAGGTTAAAGCTCGCATATCCCAGAGTGTAGCTGAGGAGCAAAGTGTAGAGTCTCTCAGACTCAGTGCAGGGTTGCAATCTGTGCAACCCAACACACACAGGAAGGATTAAAGAAGCCAAATCCTAACACTTGTCTGCAAAAGCAGAGCGACCTACACACATGCAAAGTAACGGTAATTATATAATTGACTAAAAAATCCCCACGACTCCTCTGAAATGTTGCTATCTGTGCCAGCTATCTGTCATTGTTCTCTCTGTGCGTGTTTTACCATTTGCTGTGCGTCTCTCGCTCTCCGTGAATGCTCCTTATCAGTTCTCGCCATTCATAAAATCTCCTCGTGGACGAATGTCAGCGTTGTGACTGCTGCATATTAAAAGACACGTATAATGATATTGATGTTTTGTGTTTTCATTTTGCAAGAGTAAACATTTTGATTAAATCTCTGTTTTATTCCACCGTGTTATGAGTTGTGATTTATTTTTTATTTTTTAATATATCCTGAAGATGATGGGGAATGCACTAGTACCTATGCTTACAACTCATAACATTTTTTTATGCCTGCTGAGCATCATAAAACATCATATTTTAATTATAGTTTTGTCTTTAATGGAATAAGTCTAATTTTATGTTTCTCTCTTTTCCTCCCCTTTGCTTGATTTCCTCCTCCCTTCACTACCTTTTTCTCCCACTCTGCACCGCTCCTGAATTTTGTCTCCAGTGATGGCGGCTTAGTTCAGTCTCAAGATGACAGCATTGTGGGTACAAAGCAGTGCCGTCACAGCGTAGCCATCATGCCCATTCCTGGCAACCTATCATCAAGTAGCCCAGACCTGCTGCAGCCAGCAAGCAGCGTCCTGGACTTCTCCATCCCTGCAGGTAAGAAAAACACGGTAAATGGCCATCACAGTTAACAGACAAGTTTGCTTGTTCATCTGAAGAAAAAAAAAATCCTTAGCAAAATGTTTTTCCTGGGATTTTCTGGGTGTTTATGAAACCGTTTTCCCACCATTCACATTTAGCTGTAATAGTCTCCAGCTGTGAGCGGTTCCTCTAAATGCTTTATGCAACTCACTATGATACAGTAATGAAGACACCACATACTCAAATGAGTGCGTAATTTGGCACTGGGGCTAACTTTTTCTTTTACTTTCCAGCGTTGGATTATTACTGACAAGTCAGTTTCACTCACTTTTTGTTTTGATTTACAGTTTACATCAAAGTTCTGTTGTGTTGTAAAAGTTCTGCTTTTCTCATCTTTCTCAATAAAAGCTTAGATGAAAGTAGCGATGGCGATAATGTGGAGAGAAACAAAAAAGAGCCATCTTTCATAACGACCTTTCTGTATTGTCTCTGATTTAAAGCTGTGGGAGGGCGTGCCGTCCTACTAAATTTATTTGATGATGTGCGTATATCTCGAGGAAAAACATGTCTGGCCGTTCACTTAAAGTGAAACAGAAAAGTTAACGTCTTGCTACAAAACTTTAACTCATAAAAGAAAAATATCGTCATATATTTGCAGCCTGAGACGCCACTTAGAATTTCAGTTGTCTCGGCCGGAGTTCACGGCTGCTCGTATGAGGAGGCTTGACCTGTGACCCTGGCCTTTTTGAACAGTATAAGCCGCTTGTGGAGTTGAAGGACTTGCTGAGTACTGAGCAAACAGTCTGTCACCCTTGAACGCATTAAGCATCCATCTGCCGACTGTAGTGTTGTCGAGTGCACTTTGGGGGTGGGTTCATTTTAAGCCTTTCCTCTTATTTGTTCACCTTGAGAAACAGGCAAACTCCTCAAAACACTTTCTTGTGCTGACAAAGGAGTTTTAAAGCAAACGCACACATCCTGAGTTGCACAGAGATGTACATGCAGAAATGTGGCTGTTTGACAAGACCTGACCTCGGCTTGACTCAGACGAGTTCCTGAGCCCATAATTATTTAAACTAACACGCAGCATTCCCCGTGGATTTGTGTGTTATTTATGTGTACATTCAGTGAAAGATCGAAGGGGAAAGCGGAAAGAGGCCGAGACAGAATACGGTCTTGATTTATTCCACTAGCCATTTGTCAGTGAGCCGCACACACTCGGACAGACGCACGTGCACACGCGCTGTAGTTTGCAGACCTATACATCACATGTGGTTGTGTTATACTAGAGTACAAACACACAACTGTGCCACATTAATCATCCGCCATTAGATCAAATTTCCTTCGGTCCTGCGGCCTCCCATTAGCTCTAATCGTAGAATGAAGAACAGCTTGCAGAAATAAAAACCTCCTTTTCCAGATGCTCTGCAGAGCTTGTAATACCCCCAACAATGCCCTGCCTATGCACTAATATTTCTTTCCCTAAGTCCATACTGGGCAGGAGGTCTAATGGAAAGTGCTGGCTGCCAATATTTAGGAAAATTTGTAATTTTTTTTTCATGTGTTTTGTCTCATTAACTTTCAGATTGGTTTTCATTTTGATGGTTTTAGACTTTTCTTGGCTTATTTTATAGCACCATTTAAGTTGCACTTATAGAATTTCATTACTAGAAATGTTTCTTTGTAATAGAAAAGCTATTTTAAATTCATTTTGTGCCACTTTGCCCTGTAAGTCACCGCCCAGTTTTATCTGAGAGGCTTAATAATCAATGCTTAGTTAGGGAACAAAAGCAGGCAATAATCATAATGGAGATGAACTACAGCCCTGCTTTTACCAGGTATTTGTGTGACTTTTGCCACACTTTATGTTGCCCATACATTCCTGCTTCAGCCATCACAGGCTGAATCGGTTAGAGAGGCAGAGCTGGAATTGCTTTAGAGGTAGAGTACGAGTGTTTTCTCTGGAGGCTGCTGCTTATGTCTTGTCTCATTTCGCAAAGTGGCATTGTGTCTGCGTGTCTGATGTACAACTCTGCGTGAAGCTAAACCCACAGATGCTCACTCGCTTCTGTGTCTTTTTGCCACTGTCGCTCTCTCTTTTTCTTTTTTTCCCTCCGCTTCTTCAGTCCTTTACTGTGTCTCTCTCCTCTCGCGCGTCTCTTGCTGTGATTTTAAACAGATGTTCTGGTGTCGACATGTTGAGTCATACTCTGCCTCTCTGCTTTCCCATAAGCAGATTCAGGATACACTAGAAACTCAGCTGGTCTTCCCTCCTTTTCGTTTTTCTTTTTTTCTTCTTCATCTGTCATAATGTTTCCAACTGCTGTGTCTCTTTGTGCTCCTCCCACACTCTCTTGTGCTTGTAATTACTTGTGTTTTCTCTTTTTCCTCTCTGCTTGCCAAGCTTTGGGACTCTACTGTAAGTATAAGGATATTTCATTGCCACTGTTGGATAGCCCACCACACAGACACACACACACACGCGTCTTTGTATCCATGAATGGCGCTCTTCAGGCTCTGGACCCTGTTGCATGTTGCTGCTTCTTCTTCTTTCGGTTTGTTGTTGTGAAACCTTCCAAGTGTCTGAGGAAGGACACGTCAGTCTGTTTTTAAGCAGTTACCTTTGGGGTGAAGGACGCATGTTCGTAAGATTGATTTTTCTGTTTGTAAACACGGATACTGATATTCAGCCTTAATGAGAAATGCTGGCCCCAGTTGACAGAGCTCTTGGTTTAAATCCAAAACCAAATAGTCAAATTGTTGAACAGCAAAAAAGAAGAGGTGTATGATTGGGAGGATATTTGTCATGAAACAGTTGTGTTTGACCTTAGCTAGTCCGCTCTCCTCTCAGGAACCTGAGCAAACTTGGCAAATTTTCTTCTGCTATCTTGTGATTTATGACTTCCGACTGTATGATGGAGGGACTTGGAAAAGCTTTGGCAAACAGCAGAAAGGAGGCTGAAGAGGAGGAGGAGGAGCAGACTTGCTGGAAGTGTGCAGCCTTTGTTAGTGCTGTGTTTGCAAAATCCCACGCCTTTCCTTCTTGTGTAGAAAGCCTCTTTGGCTTCTTGCTGTTTATGTAAATGAACAATACTTTATTAAAGATGGTAATTGATTGGATGTCCGGCCGGGTGGGCACTATTGTCCTCCTGTGTGGCAGTCCAGGTCATAGCTCATCAAGAGGATTAAACACGATTAGGCCCCCTGGATATGATAGCCAGCAATTTATCTGAAGGCTTTCCACACTCTAATCACAAATTACAGCTAATGAGACACAAAGCATTTAGCCTCCAGTCAGCCTTCTCTCAACACCCTGCTGCACATAAACAGAGAAGCTCTCTTCTGCTGCAGCACCACAGAGGGAGGAGGAAAGGCTGCACTTTAAAACTCTCTAATGCGGTCTTTGCCAGCAGAGCGTCAGCGTACATAGCTCCATCTTCAGCATAAAAGTCAGCAATAATCTGAATGAGTATAAAAGTGTTTATGTATGTGTTTGCACTTAATGAACACACAGTCAGTAAAGAGGTCAAGAAGGGGTGCTAACATCAAAACATTAATATGTCGATACGGTTCAATGGAAAATAACAACAACAACAAAAGCTGGCTAAAAATCTGTGAAACAGTGCAGGGAAACATCTGGAACCCGTTTTCAAATTAGGCAATGATTCATGAATAGACTATAAATAAGCACTCGATGTCCACAAGTAACGCTCGGTGGCAGGTACAGTTCAGCCGAATCAGCAAGTAGAAATGACAGGAAATAGAAAAGAATTGGTCGCTTTTAGAAACAAAAGTGGCGACAAAAGACAAAACAAACAAAAAAGAAAAATGACTTATGCTTATCAAAATGCTGCGCATAAATTAAACTTAAAAAGCGGGAACTGAATCCCTCAGCGTACCCACCGTGACTGCGACCACAGCATTGCATCAGATGCATACAGAGAACCGACTTTTTATGTTGAATTTGGAGCTCTGAATCCAAACTGACTTGTGTACAGATAACAGCTTTCGCCATTCACACGCACTCGCAGCCACAGACCGATCAGATATCCATGCAAATAAGGGCAGGCTTTGTGTTTTGCCCTGTACCTGCTTGATAAACAAAAAGAAGCCGGTGTGTGTGTGTGTGTGTGTGTGTGTGTGTGGATTTATGGTAATGTGCAGAAAGTCATCGCTTACGATCCCCGTCTGTTTCCAGCAAGGTAAAACGAAAAGATTGCATGAACCTGCACACGCTGAGGTTCATGTTGCAGCTGTGTGATAGCTTCATCTGGTTGTCGGACTCTCTTCCCAGTTGTCACTGTGCAGCGTTCATAATTCATTCTTTTAAAGCTCTTTACCCGCCTGTGGCTAATGGGCCGTACCCTCTTCCTTACTCAAACACAGGGATCTTTAATGCAGGATTTCACTCAGGGGGAACATTTCCATTATTTAACACACACAGCACGCCATGTAAGTCGCGTGCAGCTGCGTGCAGCCTCGGGAATCTGTTGCAATCACCAACATTCAAAGCCTTTATAATGGACTATTTAACAACAAATAACAGACGCGGAAGTGGCTTCATCTTTTACTTCACGTAAGATGTTTCTATAAACCATTTAGGTTTAAATAATAAATTACTGGATTTTCAGTCTTATGCTTTTACAACAACAGTGATCTAATATTACAGAGTTCTGTCAAACTGTGGGAAATAGAGTGCTAAGGTGAAGACGCTTAACCCAGAAAATATGACAATATGATGCTAAGAACAAACTTACTAGCAGGGCACATCACAGAGATAAATTCAGAGATGATTCAAGATGAATATGTGCATATCCAAGGTCAATGCAGGGCTGCCTGAGCCCGATATATCTGCCAAGAAGTGAAAGTCTTCTGCTTGCATTTCTGCTACCCTTGCATGCATGTTTTTCCATATGCTTTGTCCTCTTCTTTTTATTCCCGTCTGTTGTTCACTTTTTAAGTGTTATTTGAGGCTGTGTTTCAAATAGACTGTAGTCTACATGTTTTAAAGACAGCATGTGACTCTTATGTTATTTGTTTTTGATGAACAGAGTCAGAATAAATGTGTTATGTGCTAAAGTATCTGCCTTCGTGCGCTGTCAGAGAGCCCTGTGACATACTGTAACATTAAAAGCACAGTCACATCAACCCTTATCCCTTTTAGATTTCACCACAATGGGTTTTTCATCCGGTCTTCCTCCCCTCACCACCAACAGGCTGCAGCAGATGGCTGTCCCTGTCTGTTTTGTTCTGCTGGAGGCTTCTTCCTGTTAAAAGGGAGTTTTTCCTTCCCACTGTTGTCAAGTGCTTGTTCATAGAAGAACATTGTATTGTAATGTTCATGCTCCTTGAGGCGAATGTTGTTGTGATTTGGGGCGATACATAAAATTGAATTCAGATTTTACACTCAAGGTGTTTAGGCAGAAGAGTTGGTCTCTTCTGGAAGTTCCTTGCAGAGTCTTTCCAGCTTAAACTTGTTAATAATCAAAGTAATTTCCTGTCTTTACTGGCCAAGCCGACTTTTTCCAAAACATCACACAATTCGTCTGTTTCCTTTCTCTTCCACTCTTAGACATCCCAGACCAGGTAATTCGAGTGTTCAAGGCCGACCAGCAGAGCTGCTACATAATCATCAGTAAGGACACTACTGCCAAGGATGTCGTCGCGCACACTGTCAATGAGTTTGGACTCGTCGCGGCACCCGAGACCTACTCCCTGTGCGAGGTATCAATTAGCCCAGAGGGAGTCATAAAACAGCGCCGTCTGCCTGATCAGCTCTCTAAACTGGCTGATCGAATTCAGCTTAATGGAAGGTAAGAATCACAACTGTTACACTGGTGTTGATTGTTGTGGAAAAATCTAATACTCGGTCTGCATTTGTGTTTTATGACCCGTTTGATCCATCCCATCTTACATAATGGTTATCAGTGGTATTTTCTTGTACGTAACTTCAGCAGCTGAGTGTTTTTCTCTCTCTGCAACATGAAGTACACAAACACAACCCAGAATAAAGCCGGAAACAACACTTGCAGGTCCAGGAAGTTTGTTGTTGTCAAAAACAAAAAGGATATCCACTTAAATCTTGAATTATCCTGCCTGTAGTTATTGGACTCAAAAGTAAGAATGCTGAAACTGAGGGATTTCTGGTTTCCAGTTTGTGAATGTTCACACATTTCTCACTGTTTTTTACAGCTGCACCAATTATTATCCTCTCAAATAATTTCTAGGCTTGCTAAGTACAGCGATTTAATCCATCGAGTGTCACATGTTTTCCAAATCAGCACTGAGAAAAGCTTGAATGTACTACTACCTGCTCTTGGAGATACGGGGTAGTATTTTTGTGATGTAGTTAATTCACTTAACACGACCTGGCGTGGATGACTTGAACAACAGTTTCAACAGTAGTGATATGCAACACACCCAAAGAGTCGAGGCTTTTCCTTTTTCTGGAGAAAATGGCAACTTTTCCACTTATTTGAAGAAGCTTCAAGATCATTTTGTTGATGCTGCGTCTTCTTTCTTTTACCGAGTATATTTTTGTGTCCGTGTAGGTTTTTCCCCCCAATTTGTTGTTGTTTTGTATCACAGTTCTGTGCTAGTCATTTTCCCTTTTAAGATGAAATTAAGACGTGAAGGATTATTGGACTGCAGCCGTTACGTCTACCCTGAAGTGACTTTCTCCACAGTTTTCTCCCTCTTCTCTACTCGTCTCCTGTGGTCCCTCATTGGTCTCCTCCCAGCTAGCCTAGCATGAATTTTTCATCCTCTGTCAGGGGCGGAGGCCCCTGCAGACAGCATGCCGCGGCTGGAATTATTCATACGCACACTCGCACGCACATACAGACACATAGCAAGATATAGGCATGTAGCTGTGCAGGTATAGACCTTTTTTATGCTGGTTAAACAGCTGAAATTGAATATATGTGTGTGTGTATATAATCTCTTATGCTTTCCTGTTTCTTGAGGAAATCTTTTCCCTGTACTTGCTATTCCTGTAATGCTTGGCTGTATTTTTTTCAACCTGTATACGTATGTAAGAGGGCAATCGGCAGTCCACATTGCAGTACTTTCTATCTGGAGCAGTATCTCCACCCGGGTCCTCTGTCACCATATCTCACCTCCTCCGTCTCTTCCTCTCTGCAGCTGCTGATTGACAGCAGGTCCAAGGGAAAAGGGGGGGGGAGGAGATCCAGGCTAAGCCAACACAAAGCCTTAATCATGCTGCCAAAATATACATATAGATGCGTCGAGGGGATCTTGAGCGCTTAAGCACAGATCGCACACCCAAACACTGCCCGTAGCTGTTTACGATGGCTTGGTTCCAGTGACGTTCCCTCTCCCAGTTCTATTAAGCAGCACTTTGTCCATCATTAATTTAGACTCCTCTCCTCTCTTCCCCTTAAGTACCCTGCTCATCTCCTTCCCCTCACTCCTTTCCTCCCATCTTCTTGTCCCTTTCTCTCCTCTGACATCATTTAGTCCCGCGTCCTCTCCTTCGCTCCTCTTGTCCCTTCTCGTCTCCTTTCATGTGGACTTCCTTTTACTCCTCTCCCTTCGTGTTCCTCTTCTTCTCTCTTCTTTCATCTGCACTCGTTCCGACTCCTCTCTCGCTTTATGTTGTCTTTGCTCCTCTAATGCCTCCTTCTGTTTCAGAGGCATTACACAAGTGCTTTATCTTATCACCTCCTCTGCGTTTTCAGCGTGTGCAGATTCTCATAAATGATTAGATTCCTAAAATGTCTTGAATCTAAATATGTTGAGGGAGTTTTTCTCTGTCTTCTAAATGTGAAACAGGTCTCATGTTTTATCCTAAATATAAATTCAGCTTGATCTCACAGCCTGAGCTTGTCTGACAGAGTAATTGAGCGTAGTTTAGAGGTACAGCCATGCCAACACTTTACCCCTGAGGGTTGCCCTCTCTTGGCCTATAATGCTCTGATTTGTGGTTCAGCATTCCTAGATGACCACATTACAGCTCCATTAGCGTGAAAGAGTCTCCCAGAAAACATTTAGAGACTAATCTTAAGGAGAAATGGCTCCTGTTTGCTCTTACTCAGGCACCTGTCATTTTTTTTAACCTCTCTTTGCCAAGAGCCCTGCTTTCGCTCTTTCTCTCCCCTTCTTTACCTTTAGATGTAAAATATGTACATAATCTGTCAGCAGCATCAGCATCAGAGCATCTTTTTTGCCTTTTCCTGAAACTAATTTCTGCTCTCAGAGAGAAAATTTGCCCATTTAAAAATGAAATAAGACTGAAAGGAACATTTAATTTATCAGGTCCAGAAAGTTTTATCAGCCTGGAAAAATGGATCTTGTCCACCCACTTGTCTGCCTATATTAAAGCTGAGGGAACTGCAGTCTAGTGCATACTATGCTAAGTAAGCTGTCACCAATAAAGTGTTTTGCATCATGCATTTCTAGCACCAAATATAATTACCGTCAGTTAATTTCTGTCCAGGTAAGAAATATTTTAATAAAATAACAAAGTTATTCTTAGACTTATCCATCTTCCACCTGCTCCCTCTTCTTTAGGTATTACCTGAAGAACAACATGGAGACGGAGACGTTGTGTTCAGACGAGGACGCCCAGGATCTCCTCAGAGAAAGTCAAATCTCACTTCTGCAGCTGAGCACCATGGAGGTTGCAGCCCAGCTCTCCATGAGAGACTTTGAGCTCTTCAGGAACATCGAGTCCACAGAGTATGTAGATTTTAATTTAGCAGCAGTTCAAAAAAACAACTGCTGGATGGAATATTGCCTCATTAGAAATGGTCTTAGTGGAGGGGTGGCTGTCAAGAAGCCATTCGTCTAGAAACGTGGTGGAAGCTCTCTCTCGTGGCCTGAGGCTTTCAGCCATTGGTGTGGAAATCTTGTTAAAATTGATGGAATTATGAACCCAGAAAGTGCCGGATAGGTGGTTGAAGCATATTACTAGAGGATATCCATATTTTTTATGATTGAATATTAGTTACAGTAACAGTTTTTTGACATACCATTTGTTGAAACGATAATATCCTGCCTTTTAACCCAGTTTTGAACCCTTCTGTCACGTGTTTCAGGTACGTGGATGACTTGTTTAAACTAGACTCCTCTGTGGGAAGTGGCAATCTGAAACAATTTGAGGAGGTGATAAACCAGGAGACCTTCTGGGTGGCCACAGAGATCTTGAAGGAGCCCAACACTCTGAAAAGGATGAAAACCATCAAACACTTCATCAAGATCGCCCTTCACTGCAGAGAGTGCAAGAACTTCAACTCCATGTTCGCTATTATCAGGTTGGCTCAGTGTAGCACCTCCCCTCGACTGTTTGTGTCCTTCATTCTGCATTTACTCCATCTCTGCTGGCAGATGAGCTTTGATGGTGGGTCTCCATTCACCACATCGTCAGGAGAACCAGTCCAACCCCCTCCCTTCTTCCCCTTCTGTTCCTTCCTGTAATCAGCCCTGATTCTCCCAGAGCGCACAGAAACTGCACAGCATTTAAAACAAGTCTCACAGCAGTAGTTATGCTTATTGTCTGCTACAATGATTGAGTCCCTGTGGCCTTTGTGGTTTGGCTGTAGCTGAGCTTTTATGGAGTATTAAACATAGCGTCAGTGTATTTTAGTTTAAGGATGCACGTAAATTTAAATCCGCCAGTATTTTCATGTTTAAGCATCTTAGCTTCTGCACAGAAGCTTGTTTGTGTGGGATTTATCCTTAATGTTTTTAACTAAGATCTAATAAGAACTTTCAGGTTAAAACACAAGCCTGAGGTCCATGAAAATAATGACATTTATTCAAAGAAAATGCAGTCCCACATAATGTGTTTACCCTCTTAAAGATGCACAGGACTGTCTGTTTCCCCATGATCAGAAAATCACAGTGGCCACCCCAGAGCATTTACTATTGTAGATTTAATTTCCTCCCAGCCCCAGAGGATCTGGTGTCATATGGCTGAAAAATGTGCCCGTTTAACATTCTGCAGCGTTTGTTTCCTGGAACATTTTGGATTTCTCCGTATTTTTTTTCGAATTTCTGAGTTTCATTTTCATGCAGATGACACCATTTGATGCTTAAGCATTTTCAACTCTAAGACCAATTCATTGTTTCAAGATTTCCCAAAATGCTCCTGCTCATTTTAATCTGGTTTTACTCGTCCCCTGTTCAATCCCAAGAGAAGACAAGTCATTTTGGGGAGTTACATCAAGCATTTATTTTTAAAAATCTGCCAAATCACACATGCAGAGCTACATGATGTGGCAACTCCTTGCAATTAAGGGAGCAGCGGAAAATAGCTTCCTTTACTAAGATAAGAAAGGAGGCAAAAAAAGTGGGCATCACGGTGTCTTCACTGTCACACTGTGTCCGAACCAGCAGGTGAAATAACACCTGACCACTCCAAATTCTCACTCCATGTTGGTTTTATAGTCCAAGTCCTTTTTTAGCTTTGAAACTTCTGAACAAGCACTCTGCAGCGTGAAACAGTAAACAAAGTGATAAATAATAAGAGGAACTGCCTGCATTGTTAATGTGGCATAAATTTAAATATCAGTGCAGGAAGAAGTTGCACTGAGCTCAGTACTGATGTAGATGCCGCATACATTTGATGACTTGAACTAAATACGTTTTTTTGCTCTGTGTTCCTGTGCTAAGAATAAATGTTAGCACCCTTCTTATACAGCAGTACGCTGCTACCTCAGTGTCACGTGTCCACTCCCTGATCTGGACTTTTGTTAAAAGAGCTCAGCCGTATGGAGATGCTCTGTTTGCCGCTGTAAAAGGCGCTTTAAAGCCCAAGTGCCTGACCTTCTCGCCCCTTTACATTCCTGCTCACAGCAGGGCGTCTGCACACAACCTGCCTGCTGACAGGGGCACGGCGGCGGTGGCGGCGGCTGCTGCCATGTGCAAATAGCAAAAAAGGGGAAGGTGTTAGACATGCAGGATTGTGAAATATGGAGAAAGCCAAGCCATCTGTCCAGTAGTGTAGTGTTTGAGTCACATGATCTAGTATGACAAAGAAAACTGCCAGCTGCATGAACAAATCAATGTAACAGGAGAGAAGAAAAGAAATGCTGTGTCATTCATTGTTATTAGCTGTCTGTTCAGAGCTGACATCACCTTATGGGGTTTTCAGCTGTGGGAAAAGATGACCCCACTCACTGAAGTTAGTTAGCTCAAAGAGTAGGAACTGTACAGCATGAAACATTCACATTAAACCTAACCTCCTTTCCTTTTCTTCTCTACCCTTGTTTCATCTATTCCTCGTTTTTACCTCTCCCCCACCCTCCTTCTGTCTGCCGTAACCTATTTATCTCTGCCTCGATCCCTCTCTTCCCCCCGCCCTCTTTGCACCTCTTTCCTCTCTCGCGCAGCGGACTGAACCTGGCACCGGTGGCTCGACTGCGGAGTTCCTGGGAAAAATTGCCCAGTAAGTACGAGAAGCTCTTTGGGGACCTGCAAGATCTCTTCGACCCATCCAGGAACATGGCCAAGTACCGAAACGTGCTGAGCAGCCAGAGCATGCAGCCGCCCATCATCCCGCTGTTCCCAGTGGTCAAGAAGGACCTCACCTTCTTACATGAAGGTAGAAGACTTTGTGTGCCTTCTCAGATGATCTACTTGCATCCTCACTCTTGTGTTTCTTAAGTACGCTACAAGACTGTTTTCGTTTCTTGAAGTTTAATTTAATCTCCCAGCTTCCTCTGTGTTGTGCCAAAGGTCAGGTCACACTCACTGACGAGGTTTACTTCTGCTATAGGCTTCCTCTTCTTTCGGTTTTTTTTTCCACCTAAAAGCTGGCCCGACTTCTACTCAAAGGCTCCTTCTTAAAAGTGTTTGTGTAAAATGAAAAGTTGCCCTCATTGCGTCCTCAAATTAAGCAGTGTGGCTAATGATAGCAAAAAAATACATAGAGGGAATTTCAGGTTTTACTTTTAAAATGTGATATGGAAAAAGTGTTGCATATCAGTTTCTACAAATGTCCATAACGTCGATCATTTCCTTCCACCACACTGCTGACGGGCGACTTCTCACTTTCTACTTCTGTTTGTCGTCTCAGGCAATGACTCAAGTGTTGATGGCCTTGTGAACTTTGAGAAGCTGAGGATGATCGCGAAGGAGATCAGACATGTGGTGCGGATGACCTCAGCCAACATGGACCCTGCCCTCATGTTTAGGCAAAGGTCGGTTGGTTTGACACTGCAGCACGATTAACCATTTAAACCTGTTTTAGGAGGAAAATGACAAGTGATGAAATGACAAGGCTGTTTGTGCAGATTTATATGTATTTGAATATGGCATTATACATTATATTGTAGAATTTCTTACTTAGACAACGTCCTCATCGGGGGAGCACATGATTGAATTTTGTATTTGCAAAAAAGCATCCTAGTGCACAATAACAAGCTAAACTGCTTGTTATTGTGAATCCACAACTTCCCTCATATTTCTTCAAAACTGAAGCAGAAGCGTGTAAAAATACTTTCCCACCGAAGGCTACAATGTTGGCAAAAAGGGAACCGCACCACCATACTTCCACCAGCCAACCTTGATCCTTCACCCAACAGGATCAGGCTCGCACTGAAGGTCTGGTTCAATCAATTCCCGTTCACTTCCTGTTCAGTTCATGGCTCTCTGTGTTTGGATTGCATTCCTCTGCTGGAATGTAAGAACACAATGAATGGACTGAATGGAAATGAAGGTAGAATTGATGCCAGCCGCATTGTGTAGTTATTATCACTCGGTTTGTGTGTGTGTGTGTGTTTAATCACAGTCTGTCACTGCTACGGTGCATGACTGCCCCCTGCAGACACTCCCTTCATACTGCAAACCCAAAATATAGAGCAAACTTCAGTTCTATACACAAGTCACATATTTAAAAAAAAAAACACAACACAATGTGCCAAATGCATCATATACGAAGTCATAACACGCACTCTTCAGGTTGACATGGGGAGATGTCCACTGTTTGGTGTCCTCCCATCTCCGGTCATTTCCTGTTTGTTTGTTTGTTTTTTGCGGCATGACCTCTACATAGTCTTGTCTCCTCCTCTCCCCTGACCCCTGAACTTGTCTTTGAGTCACGCTTCAATCTTCACGCCTCTTGCTTGCAGGAAGAAGAGGTGGAAGAGTTTAGGGTAAGTTTGTCCTGCGTACCAGATTCATCCTGTTTCCATCTGGCCCGGCAAAAGTTTGAATCCTCCCTGCATCCCTGTCATCATAAACTCTGCATGTCTCGCCATGCTTTATATGAGCGTTCATGTGTCTGCCTGTGCTTGTTCATGATTAACCCTTCTGTTTGCATCACACGAACCACACTAAAGTCCCTTATTGACCCATTAATTGTCTACCCTACTGACGAGAGTGTATGTTGAGTCATATAGTAGCTTGAAATGGTGCAGAGCGTTTCTTAACACATTCGCAGCTACCAGTGAAAATTGGCTAAATGATGAATTGCTGCTATTCAACTGCAGATTCAAGTTTAAGTGGAATATAAGTAGATAGTTATAATGCAAAGCTTCTTGCCTGGAAACAGCAGGAGAGTAATTAGACCTCATTGTTCCATTAAGTTCCTGTCCTGCAGTATTCATTTATATCTGATTGTCTTCATCAGCAGGTGAAGTTTGTTCAGTAACATTTCCATAACAATGCACAACGGCTGAAATGAACTGGAAAAAACTGCTACGCTTCCATAGCAACTACAAACTCCGTCTGCTGATGTTGCTCTTGTAGTACGGTTGGAAACGCAACAAAATAGCACTTAAGGGTGGATCCGTTTATCACCTACCTCAGCTCACAATCCTGTAGAACAAGCTCCACCTCGCTGCAAAAAAAGGCAACGTAAAACGCACCAGTGTGTATTTTAGTGATACTATTTGACTCAGGTTTGGCGTTTGTTCATATCTGCATCATGGCATAATATTCCCAGTATCGAATATTGTGCGTTGTTTGTTTCTTAACCCTTTTTGCCTCCATCTGACAAAATGTTCTGCTGTTCTGTACTGTGATAGCATGGCACACCAGGGAGTGCTGCCTCCCTCCCAGTTGCATGGTCCTTTTTTTAAAATGCTATGCTCCAAAACGGAGGCAGATGTACAGATTTTGTAGTAAAAGCTGTATTTGATAAGACGGAAGACCTTCGTGTTTTATTGGTGATTAAATTGACTGTGTTGCATTTTTTTCCTCCATGCCCTTTTTCTTCTCTTACACATTTATCTTCCTTTCCTTCTTTCTGTTCTTTGCGGCTCCGTCCTCCTCCACCTTTTCTGTTACTTCTGTTCAATTTAACACACTTCTTCCATCTCTTCTTCCTCTCACTGTCTTTATTATTACTCTACCTTTTCTTCCTGCCTCTTTGCTATCATCTTTTAGGTCTTTGAGTCAGGGCAGCACCAATTCCAATATGCTAGACGTGCAAGGCGGAGCGCACAAGAAGAGAGTACGCCGAAGCTCGCTCCTCAATGCTAAGAAGCTGTACGAAGACGCTCAGATGGCCAGAAAGGTGAAGCAGTACCTCTCTAACCTCACAGTGGAGACTGATGAGGAGAAACACCAGATCATGTCCTTGCAGTGCGAGCCGTCTTACAACACTTGTAAGTAAATCAGAAACTAAGAGGGATTCACTATTTGGGTTTTTTGATTTAATTAGAAAAAGTATTTAGCGTGCTATTATCCCAGCAAGCATGCCCATGCAGATTCACAGGGGCTGCGTGGGCAGGGCAAACTTACACTTTTCCCATGGAGGCCCAAGTGAGTGTACCCACGCGGGGCCCACAGCAGTTTTGTGCTTTGGGGTCCCAAAAGGGAACTCTGTGGGCAACCAATAGCTCTTACCCACAGGAAACTCTCGCTGGCCCCGCCTGTGGGTCAACCTCGCATCCCTGCACTAGATAACTGTGGCTTTGCTCTGTACACACACCCCCACAGTTTACCCACAGCTATCCACTGTGGACCCACATAGCTGGCTCAACAAGGAAAAGCCATACAGGGAGATGTGACTAGTGTGGAGAAGATTAATACATGTTTAATGAGGCTCGGTGAAGTTTAAGACAGACTTGTTCGATGGGATTTGAGTTTATTCAAGCAAATGGCACTTTCAGCCTTTTATGGCCTTTTCAGCTCATTGGTCAAGCCGGCGACCTACACGCTGAAAGGCAGCAGGTTTCGCCCTGGATCGTTTCCTGTATCTCCCTGCCTCTCGCTTTCTCCCTACTTTACTGTTTACTCTCCACCACTGTCCTGTTCAATAATATAAAAAATAAATAAATAAAAATAGATGTCCTGCACTGCCATCTAGTGGATTTTGGTAATGTTGTCAAAAGTAGCAGGATTATTGGTTAGTATCATCAATTTTGGTACTTTTCTTGGTATAGGTAACTAAAGATTCAAATAAAAAGCCCACATCAGATGTTGATCTAAACATCATTATTGCTTTATTACACTGGCTTCATGTTGGATGCAGTTTTGCCTGTTTATAACATTATTTTTGTCACCTTCTTGTGATTTTAGTGTCTAAGAATTTGAATGAGAGGCGATCCACTAAGTCGGATATGTCTCCAGTCTCGCTGCGGTCAACTCTGCCCTCCGGAAAAACACAAAACAGGGTGTCACAAGTCCTACAGGTCCAGGTCCCACTGAACCCTCTACGAAAGAAGAGCACTGCCAAGGACATAGCCTCACTTAGTGAGTACACGCCTGTTTTATTTCTCATTAGGCCATGTAATGTAACTTTTTATCATCATGTAGGAACTTTACTTTTCAATAGACTTTTGTGTTTCAAAGATTAATAAGTGACTAGTTTTATGGTTATTGTAAAGTTGCAGTCGTGCACAAAATTCAAAATGATTTCAAACTTGTTTCTGAGAAAACAGTCGGGTTGTCGTCTTATTTATTTAAAGCAAGGACAGAAAGAAATGTCACATTTCTGTGTTCTGTATTATATGAAGTGTAACCAAATCCCTGGTTTGGCGACTTTCGTGACCTTTTATTTTCTCTCTTCTTCAGATTCCAACTCACCTCAGGTGGTTAAGAAACCACCAGTGAACTCGTCAGAGGAGTGGAGCACAAAGAGAACATGTGACGACACAGTTTCCACCATCTCCTCTCTTCACTCGAGCCCCACGGTGTCACCTCAGGGCTCCCCGCGCAAAGGTTTGCAACCAAAACCGTTTCTTGCTTCCTTTTTTTTTTTACCCTGTTTGCTTTTTATCCACTTCAGATAATCTTACTGATTTAAGATATTAGTGTGGTTTGATTACACTTAACATGAATGAATAATAAAGTTTTAATTTGTGTTTTCTGGGTTTCATCTCTTCTATCGTTGCCTTTTTTTAAATAGTGGGAGGTGTGGCAAAGTCCCAGAACTCCAGCCAGATGAACTTGTCGGGATCTTCATCGTCGCTGACCAGCGAAGCTAGCTCAAAGGCCACCGTCAGTCTGCGCAGCTACGGCATAGGTGGGACCCTCCTCCAAAAGAGGATCCTATTGATGACCAGGCAGAGTAGCCAAGAGAGTTGGAGGGAGAGAGAAAAAGAGGAGAAGATGCAGGAAGAGACAGAGGCAGTTCAGAGAGGCTTGTTCCACTCATCAGAGCAAAGGAAAGGGAGATCCAGGCAGCAGAGCAGCCAGGGTGCACAGGCAGATGCAGGGCTAACGTCACTGAGGGTAAGAGGAGGGAGTCCAGCCCCAAAAAGGAAAAGGATTGATGGAGATCATCCTGCGGTCCAAAGTGACTCTCCATACAGTTTTCCAACTCCATTTTCCCAGTCTCCTTTAATGAGACACACCCCCCCAGAGTCCCCCATAAGGAGGAGGCTAATGTCACCGTTCAGGATACTGAGGAAAAGGAGTCAGTCCAGGGAGAGGCCAGCAGCAGTCAGCCCACACCTGAACAGTAGGGAGGAAACAGCAGAGCGTATGTCCTCCTCACCTCAGGATGAGACACGAGGGCAGACAGAGCAGAGAGCCAGGAGATCAGTCAGCCCTAACCCCTTCCTCTGGCTGTGCAGGGACAGAGACTCCAGGAGAAAGACCCTCTAACAGACATCACGTTGAGACAGTTATAGCAAAAACAGTAAAGAGAAGGGACACAGTGGTATTTGAGAGAGACTTTTGTTGTTGTTGATGATTTGCATTTATTAAGAGTCCATCATATTAAAAAAAAAAAGCATTTTCTTTTTAAAGTACAAGTGTTGCTTGAGAGCTTCAGATCCACCGTGAGTCACAGAGATGTGACGCCTGAGAGTTTTCGCTGTGAATACTTGAAGAAGACGATGCGACACAGATAGAAAAGAGTACATCTGAGGCTGTAACAGCAGATGGAAAAAGCATTTCAGTGTGTTCTCGCAACTCTCCCGACATTTTTTATTCATGGGTTAAAGCTATGAATTATTGTGTTAAAGCTGTTTGGATGTCATCGAGCAGCCGACAGTCATGTTTGTCGCTGTGAAACATTCTTCGTTCCCGAATTTGAATTTTAAAATGATTAAATTTATTCTTCGTTTTTGGTTGACAAGTTGTAGGCTCTGTTTTTGGTATATGGATTTCTTCTGTGGCGTGCAGCATTTTAATTGTAATGTTCATTTAGTTTCCCGACAGTCAGTTTATTTGCTTTTTGTGATATAAAGTTTAAACTATGAACCCACCCCCTCCCACAAGTGTGTGTTTCACAGTCATTTCTACACAATTCATAGTCTCAGTCTACAAATAACACAAACAACAGCCTCACGCTTTCTGATAGTGTTTGTGATTTCGGCGTCACCGAAATTTAAAGTAGTCTCTTTATAGTTTTATTTTACTCTTTGTCTTCCTCAGGATGCAGTCACTCACTAAAGAGAGCATCATTTGTGTACAGTGCACATTAACACTGCCGTACTTTGGCTGCAGTAATCGTCATTGCAACCCAGTAAAACGATCTGCATTTGTACCACTGCACTCAGCTTTTGTTTAAAAGTCTCTGTTCAGTTTTAATAAAAATTTAGCTTAACCTCCAAAATGTAAATATCTGAAACGCTCCTCTGTCCAGGTTATGCCCTCCTACCACCCGGTAAAGCTGACAACCTGTCGGACTCGAGTCACAGCGAGATCTCCTCCCGCTCCAGTATCTGTTCGGTCGACTCTGTGCCTGCTCCTGGGCCTGATGACCGATGTAATAGCAGCAACAGGACCTGTATGACTACTACTGCCACTATTGCTACTACAACGTCTCCTGCAATAGCTACCGCGGTTCCTGAGAGCGCAGCAGGAATGCATTCCCACGTAAATGCTGATTACAGCCAGCCCAGCACAAGGTAATTTGGCTTCAGTTTAGTTTGTCTAATCTGTCTGATTAATTCTTTAGATTACATTTAAGAAGTGCTTTTATTTTGATAGGATAGACTGACAAGATAGTTTTGTTGTTTTGCACTTTGCATAATACAAGGACTGATTATGATTCCTATCGTATACTGACTGGATGTTTGATAAGCCCTAAGTAACACAGGCCTAGAGACCCGTGAGCAACCCCCCTGGCAATCTCTGGTTGCTAGGGAAACATGTATATTCTCCAAGTAGTTGCTGGAGGCTGCTGGTAATGGATAGGTCAAATTGGTTGCAAGGAGCTATACGGTGCACCAAAAAACTTCCTTGTCACTGCTTTGGTTGCTAGCAGGTTGCTAGACAAGATGGCAACTTGTCTGCAAACACCCGCCAACTACTTGCTGAGCAGTAGTGAAACTTGCGTGAGGTGATTCCCAAACCACAACTCAACGCAAGTAGTTTGCAGGTATTTATAACCACTCACCAAACAGTGTTGAAAACATATTTTTCCTATCAAACTGTGTGTTGCCTGGAATTACAGACGGGTCTCGACGCCTGTGTGACTTGCACGTTGTTCACATTTTGAAGCCTTCGAGTTAGCATTATGGCTATTGCTGTCTCGGTTGTAGTATCTGGGCACAAGACCTAATTCTGGCCAGCTTCATTAGCTGGATGCATCTGTAGATTGTTTGGGTGTTTTGCACAGACACAAAGTAACTCACCAAAGCTGTTAGTACAAATAACCACTCAGCACGCCATCTCATTTGCCAGATAATTACCTTAAAAAGCATCAACACCGCGAACATGGTTAAGAGGTCCAGTTCAGTGACTCCAATTAGCTGATGTGAAGCTGAGGAGTCTTGCACACACCACCTGGTACTCAAACAGCCAATGTGCAATAGATAAAACTTACGGCCTTAATAACATTTAAATGGGTTAAATATAATTTAAAAAGCATGCGCTCTACATTAGTGATGCACAGAGAACAGTAGCTATAGAGATGAGGCTGTGAGTATGTTTATTCCTGTTCAGTGCTGAGAACTTGTACTCTTTACCCCTTGAAAGCCTACAAGGAGCAACACCTGAAGCTCTTAAGTTCTGAACTGAGAGGTTTCTGTCACATTTCAGGACTTATTAAATGAACAAAATGACCGGGCTTGAATCAGACGTTAGTAAGAGTGGTCTCTGCCTCTTCAGCTACTCGTGGAAAACCCAGAAATGGTTGTCAAACCATATTGATTGAGGTATGCAGAGGCGTCAAAACTCACCATTAAAGGTACAGGGGCGGTCGCTAAATGTCATCTTTATGAGGAAAGAGTTAACATGGGAGTCTACGCCCAAGCTGACTTGCTTTTGGAGCCAGCTTTTTGAACGGGAACATTTTGCACCAGGCGACCAAAATGCAAGCAAATATTTTTATAAGGCACGTGTCAGAAACCCCGTCGTTCGACACACACGCACAGACACACGCTGTCTGCTGCCACCTTTTCAGCAAGCTGGATTCCAATAACGTCCTTCCCTCATTAAACAGGAAGCTCTAAAACACAGCGGGTTTTTATTAGCATCCCACATTTACTGACCTCCTCTCTCCTCCTCTTCTCTATTAACAGCGTATCGGTTTCTACGCGGGCGGCTTTTTAATCTGGCCGAGTTAACAACACGGCTTTTTTTTTTTATTGTCTGCTGTTTGTTTATTATTCCTCCATGATCAGGCCATTGTGTCTCATAAAGAGGAGACTCAATAACCCGTGTCCCCGCTCTGGTAATATATTACCTCGGCAGCCTCGTCGTATAACACGCACCTGTTTTATGAAATATGGCTCGGTTTCATTGAGTGGCTTGTTTTGTCCAGTAAAACAGTGTCAGTGAATGAAAACAAACAAAGTAGGTGAAGAGGAAAAGTTTATGTTTCGCTTTGAGCCAGGCTGCAGGGAAACATCATATTCTTTGTGATTTTTACGTGTGCAGAATCAAAGCTGATTTTACCGACATCATTATAACAACAAAGAGTGCGGTTTGTGATCTGTGTAACATTGAACTTCATCCTTTGTCCATTTGTCTTTCGTGCTGGTGATCCTCTGACCGAGGTGCCCTTCAGCAGTGTTTTATGGTTGATGAACCTCCTTTGTCCTCTCCTGTCGCCCCTCCCTTCTTCCCTCTCGCTTTCTTGTCGCTTCATTTCGGTATGACTTACCTCCACCTTTACCACCACTCAACAGTCCTGCGCAACAGACTATATTTTATTGACTATTTTTACACAGGCCGGTTTTTCTACACTGTAGTCGTGATTGCCATGTAGGCGTTCTGCAAATGCGGTTTGAAATGACAAGTATGCCAAGTTACACATTTATATAAATGTATTTTATTATGTAAAATAAGAGTATTTGAACTGGTAATAGGAGGTGGATAGGTACTGTTATTCACAGGGGCACGAAACATCAATCAGAGCTGGTATTTGTGCTGATTTTCATCTGTGTATTACTCTCGTTCATCTACAGCGGTTCCTCGTCAGCTCGGGGATACCCGACGCGAGCCTCCACCTTCACTTCTTCCATCTCGACAGAGGAGCTGACCCACGACCACACCTCTCTGGACTCGGTGGCCGACAGCGGGCGCGGCAGCTGGACGTCCTGCTCCTCCAACTCCCACGACTCCTTCCAGAGCCTCCCCACCTCCTCCTGCCGGCCCTGGGACCACGGCATCCACGGCCACCCGCTTGCTCTGTCCCACTTCAAGCACACGCAGATGACCCGGCCGATAGCGGAGGCCGAGGCTGCCGGGCCCGTGTGGGCGAGCGACGGCGGTGCCAGGCAGCACTCCAGAGACTCGAGTTCAGACCTGTCCAATCAGTGCCGGCAGAGCTGGGCGTCGTCTGGCTCGCTCTCGGACACCTACGAGGGGAATTACGGGACGATAAAGCGGCGAAACACCTCGGAGCACCCCTCCTCACCAGCCAAAGAGGAAGGAGGGCAAAGCACAGACCCTGCCTACAAAACGGTGACATCAAGCACAGAGAAGGGCCTGATAGGTGAGGGAACAGCTTGCGAGTTTGATTCCCTGTAAACACAGCACAGAGTAGCAGTGGTCAGGAGAAAAAGTTGAGAAAAAGAAGAAAATACGCTCTGCCATCCTAGATTTGCTTGTGAGGTTATAGACTTTGATTTTTTTTCCCCCAAATCTGTCTTGGTGCCAAACCATATTTTGATTTAAGCTCCAGTAAACAGCTTGAATTTGCTGCACTTTGATAAGAATGAGTCCGAGCTCATTCTTATCACTGTTAGCTTTCTATCCTCTCCAGAGTCAATTCCTCTTTTTGGATCTCCTGCTGTGCTAACACGATAGCCGTTTACTATCATAAGGATAGCAAAACGTCTTTTTTAAGCAATTTTTAGGACAGATTTTGAGTCGTTGGTGTGGATTTTAATTGACAGCAACTGTGACAATCGATTAATCGTTCTAGTCGGCCACTCTCGCCTGCATCACCTCAAATGTGAGAATTTGCTATTTCTTTTCTTGGCTCACAATAAATATCAGATCATCACGATGGGCATTTCCACTGTTATAAGAACCAAGCGATTAATCGATTGATCTGGGAATAACCGACAAACTAATCAGTGCTGAAGTCAGTTCTCAGTTGCAGTTCCAGTTCTGTCTGTATTCTGCAGCCATCCATCTCATCTGTTGTGTTTTCCTTTTCATTTTTGACACACTGTGGTGCATGTGTAGCTGCCTGTTGTGTTGGTGACATCGCATTGATTTAATTTTCCCATTATTTTTTTTTCTTTTGTTTTTACCCTCTGCACACCCTCCCCCCCTCTCCCCGGCGACCTTTTCGCCTCCTCCTCTCACTCCTCATCCCTCGTCCCCCCCCCTCTTTTCTTCGGTCCATCCCCACCCTTTTTCTTTTTGATCTCCACCTGCATCCAGTGTATTGTGTCACCTCCCCTGCCAAGGATGAGCGTTACCGAGCTCCCCCTCCCACCCCTCCAGGCTACCAGGGCCTGGCCCTGGGGGACCTCGGCCTTGCAGACGGAGTAATAGGTGGGCCAGGAGGGCACGTCCCCAGGCCTCCTCACCTCAAACCTCCGGACTACAGCGTGGCGTTGCAGAGGAGCAAACTCCTGCAGAGCCCCGGAGCTGCCGGCAGTCTGGCTGAGGCACGCAGGCTGGCGGGTAACCTTCACCTTCAACACCAAGACGCACGGACAGCCGGGTCCACGCCGGGCCACTCCAGACCGCCAAGCATCTGCCACCCGCCACAGGATCTGGCTGACAGTGAGGATGGTAGGAAACTAATCAGAATTGATTCTTTTCTGTAGAAAAGAATTGCAAAGACATCATGTGATAGAGAAATTTTAGGCTACGATGTGAACATGAGGTATATATATTTATCTTCTCTTATCCAGATGAGCAAGTCTCAGCGGTGTAACGGCACAAACCGACGGACCAAGTCGTGTTGATCCGGCTTTGGACTAAGCCAGTCAGCTGGTTGCCGTCAACTGTCAGAGCACATCGTCCGAGCCCCTCCCAAGGCCCCTTGTGACGTCACCGCAGACCACTCGTGAACCTGGCCAGTCACTCAGGTGACCCCTGTCCAACTCCCGGGACTCACACAAGCACCTCTTTTTAAACTCGTTTCAGAAATCAAAAGAAGAAAACAGAGACTTTGGATACTTTTTAAAAACTCTGTACAAAGTAGAAAGGCGCTGTGATGGGATCACGCCGCCGTAGATAGACTTAAAAAACCCCAACAAAATAAAAGAAGGAAAGAGTGACAATAAAGACGCGTCGTGCGACGAAGTCAGCCTCCTCAGAGACGGACCGTGTACCTCCATTTTGCGCTTCAAGCTCACTTTTCGTGTTGTTGTTGATTTTTTTTCTTTAAATTAAAATCTTGTACAGTGGTTTAGATTATTTTTTTTGTAAAAGTGTTCATTTTTCTTCTTTAAGTTGCATCTCTGAGCTTTTATGCGAGGATGGTGAGGACAAAAAGGGACGGAAAGTAGTCAGCAGCGTCGTGGACAAACATGAACTCACGGGGGTGTTTTCTCTTTTTTTTGTGGCTCTGCTCATTTTATTTTGACGTTTGCAAGATTGTCGTCCGCTCCAATGGAGATGAATGTGAAACAAAGAGACAAGCTTTGGCACTGATGATATTAATTTACGCATGTGACACCAGATTCCACATGAACAAAGCAAATGCACAAAAAACCCGAATAAAAATACACAGAACAGTTGCAGTACTTAAACTTCGACTGCATCGGAGGTCAGAAAAGCCCCTCAGGAGCCCCGTTGCCTTTTTCTTTCCCACGCTCCCTCCTTAGGTGGTGACAAATGAGAAATCAAACCCGCGGAACAACGGAAGGCACGTCTGTTCATGTTTAGCGCTTATTGTAGTTTGCTGAGCTTTACAGGGGAAAAAAAGACAAACTGCAGATCTCAGGCAGTTCCCCGTGGCTGCGTGTTGCACTCCCCACCGCCAGCCGCTTCTCTTACTGCTTGTTTAGTCTGTCGCGAGGTACTTTAGCGGCATGCTGCCTCCTGGATGTTCTATAAAAACTGTATCATAACTTGATTCTAATGAGCTGAAGAACAAATGACTTGCTGCTTACCGTAGAATAATAAAAATGTGTTGTTATTTAATTGCAGCAGCTATAGTAAAATGATAAATTAGCACTGTGTGGCCACACGATTTGCATATATATATATATATATATATATATATATATGCACACACACCAAAATCACGCTGGTGTGCATAAAGACAGTGTTTACACCAGTGCTTACACATTTTGTTTACAGTGTTTATTAGACTAGTTGTCTATTGAATTACAAGCTGAGTGTTAGTGCAAACACTCCAGGTTCGGCCGACCTTGTAAATGTGTTAATAATGCAGCAGGAATATGCAGATGCAGCATAAATTTGGATTATGTGCTCACAGTGTACCTCTCGTCTCTCATCTCTTTGTTTTTTTTGTTCTTTTGTTTTCTTCCTATTTAAAAGCGCGAGTGTCGCAAACAAGTCGGCGAATATTTTAAGGCGTACCTCGCACCTTCATTTTGTGTCCATAGTGTGTTTTGTAGACTATTTAAAGAGGATGTGCTTGAAAATTGTCTATTTGCATTGAAAACAAGAAGCAAATTTGTACATGCAAACGAAAAATGTTTTGGTTTTTTTCCATTTGTGCTTTGATTTTTTTCCTCCGCAGTTCGGCAGGGGTGTAACTGGAATTAGATGCTCTTCTCCTTCTGCTGTTTGTCGCACGCTCTGTGACGCTTCTTTTGTTTTGCCACACAAAGACTTGAAATGATTGATGCTAATATACATATACACACACACACACACACACAC